GGGTCAGCAGCTTGCTCCGAGGGCAAGTGTATCCCTGCCTCTCCTGGGGGAGAAGGGCGAACATGTCACAGCTGTCCCAGCAGACAGCAACACCCGTGACTCCCGCCAAGGCCATCTCCTGGCCTGCCATTGGGAACCCCTCAGAGACCCTGCCTTGGTCCCCGCCTTGTCTGTCCTGCACTACTCCTCACTTGCCCAGTTCTCCCAGACAAACACACACGGACAAAATAAAAATTTAAATTAGGGGAAAAAAACCTGCCCCCAGGGAAGGGAGTCCCCAGGCAGCCCAGGCCGCAGCTAAGGGAAGCTGACAAGGGATGATGCCTTATAAGCCTCTCAGGCCGGTGGCCCCGCCCCTTTGCTTCCCCCTGGCCTCTCTAGCCTCTCTGGCCCCACCTCCCTTCCTCTCCACTGCTCCTGCCCCCCACTCCTCTGCCCAGCTCCTACCTTGCCTTCGCCAGTCCCCTGGCCACCCTCAGCACACTCTCCCAGCCTCTGCTGCTCCACTGCTCTGCCAAGAGGCAAGAGCCTAAAGTCAGAGACGTGTGCTTCCAAGGCCAAAGGAAAGACCCTTGTGTGGTCTGTAGGTTTTGTTGGTTCCAAATCGAACGCCAAGCATGCTTTGCCAAGTGGTAGCTTAGCAGTAGGAAGTGTGGTGCTTCCCCAACAAGGGGCTGCTGCCTGTTGCTGTGGTGGAGCGCATCTGGACAGCAGCATCTTCTTTGGTGCATCACATCCAGTTCTGTGTTGGGGCTGAGAACTGAAACTCTGCACTTTTTGTAGGAGTGAAATCTATTCCTTCATAATGCCCGGGCTTGACAGTTGCAATTTTTCTGTGGTGTTGAAGTCAGAGCTTATCTCATTCATAGAGGCTTGAGCCCTGGCCACCAAATCTTGCTGCAGTGCTTCTCAAGTTAGAATCCTTATTATGCCAAACTTTTTTTTTGATTTAGTGTCGAGCTACTATGAGATGAAGCAGCTGGGATGGCTCCAATTCAGATCTCCCCTTTGCTATGTGTTCACTGGACTGGGGCCATTCTTTCTGTCCAACAGGCACAGTACAGGGATGCTCTGACTTGCTTACCTTTCAGGGCTGCTGTAAGGATGACAATATATATAAGTGTGAAGAATTTTGAGCACTCCAAGGGAGTATGAACTTCTGAGTGCTGTATTACTGTTATGTAATAGAAACATTAATGCTGGGAACAATTGACAGCAAAAGAAGAAGGGGACGGCAGAGAATGAGGTGGCTGGATGGAGTCACTGAAGCTGTCACCGTGAGCTTAGTTGGACTCTGGGGGATGGTGGAGGACAGGAAGGCCTGGAGGAATTTTGTCCATGGGGTCGCGATGGGTCGGATGCGACTTTGCGACTAACATAACATAACTAGAAATGTTAAGCCTAATTTTAAGAATGTAATAGCTGGAATGATAGGAATGATCAGTGCTTGAGAATGTGATATTCTACATTGACCCATTTTCTTCCTCATCCACTGAGCACTGGATGAGAGCTGCTAGGATGTCGAGTTGTGGGGATCAGCAAAACTAGAGCTCCTTGGGGTTATCTGAGTACCACCTTGAATCTCAGACTGACTAGCAGTTTGCCAGCTTTCCCTTTTTTTTCCATGGGAAAACATGAATGACTTGGGGTATGTACCGAGAGGCACATTCAGAAATACCTAGCCTTCTCCCATTGGTTAGGGAGTGCTTGCTTTTTCTAAGAAATGCATCTGTTCTATGCATATTCTGCTAAGCAATGCATTTTAACCTGCTCTGCCCCCGCAGCATTGCTTTGCCAAAAGCATTGCATGTTTTAGTTTTGACTGCACTCACTTTTGAGTTTGGGAGGTGCAGATGGGTAGTTCATAAAGGAACTGAAGCAAATTTCTCCTGTGTCCTTACTAGTGTGGGATTCTGTCCGTTCTCTGTGCTGTAGTGCCCTCTGGCGATAGTGGTGGTAGTGCTGGAGGGTGGGAGCTTTGGCTTTTTGGGTGGGGGTTCAGAGGAGATCTCACACAGACTTGGCTTGGACACTGTCATGGGCCATTTCCGCACCAGCGTCTTGCTGGCAGGGCCACGCTGCCCCTGAGGCCATTGTGCTTTTCTTTCTACCCCTCAGGCACCACCTCATCGCGCTGGGCATTGCCGTGGACATCTTGGGCTGCACAGGGGCAGTGGCTGACCGAGCAGCCACCCTGCACAAGGTCATCCAGTTGGCTGTGGAGCTGTGGCGATCAGCAGGGGACCTCTTTGCCTTCTCCGCTGTGATGAAAGCCCTGCAGCTGCCACAGGTGAGGCGCAGCTGTGCTAGGGAAGGAAAAGAAGAGCACAGGCTGTCTGGGGTGGAATATGAAAAGTTTGGACGCAATGCAGCCACTAGTCCAGAAAGCATAGTTTAATGCATAAGGGTGGAGCATCCACAAAACTTAATTCTACTGCCATGCAGTTGGCGTGTTGTCCGGGCTTAGATGGGTGGTATGAACCTCATTTGCAGCTTCCTCTACCTGCTTTCACTTTCATCTGAAAAGTAAGTGTCAAGTGTGAAGTTTCTAGGCTTCATTGTGGGGTGAAAGTGCAATATATCATGGACCCCTGCTGCATAATCTCTCTTTGCTGCAGTGTAACATGTATTTGCAAGTGCTTCTGGTGCTAGACGGTGTGTGCATTGCTGTAGCAGTGGTCAAGGACACCTGCATAGTGTGTTTCACAGGCTTCTAGCCCCTGCCCACTTCAAACAGCCATCTGTGCCTGGTCTCCACCCAATTTTAGGCCTCTTTAGTCCATCTTTCTGCAAACATTTGTATTCCACCTTTACCAGACCAGCTACTTGGTCCATGGCAGACGTATCGCTGCTTGGCAGGCTAAGAAGCCTATTCATGCATCTCCCTCATCATTTCTGTTCATCTACAGATCACACGATTGGAGCAAACATGGAGGCATCTGCGCCAGAACCACACACAGAGTGCCATCGTCTTTGAGAAGGAGCTCAAGCCTCTTATGGGGCAGCTGAACCAGGCTGAAGGTGAGGCTTGGGTAGGCCTGCTGCCATTTTGGCTCAGGCAGAGAAGGCAGGAGTGAAGGCCATAGTGTTATGTCATGCCAGTGTAACTGTCATGTCGCGTACTTTGGTTTTAGTCACCTTCATACTAGAGATGGTAATGTCTGAATCAGCCTTCTGGGTCTCCAATCACAGAAAGGGGTATTGTTAGAAAACTTTAATTATCGAATGGATGCATTTAAAATATTCATACCCTGCTTCTCATTCATTTGAAGAAGCTTACAGCCAAAACAAACAAGCAATACCTTCCTCTGCCCAAAGGATGGGAAAAGTTTGTGTCTATGACCAGAGTTGTACAGTTTTTCCCACACATATTTAGGGATTATGGTAGGGGCTTGTTACATTCTTGAGCCTTCCTGGAGACTGGATGCCTGCAGGCTGCTCTCTTACAAGCTGAGCAAAGCATATTGTCTGCCGAAAATACATTTAAAATCTGGACCCAAGCTCTGCAATATCAAATGCTACATTCTGAAGCATGTATTGAATTATACAACTTTAAATGACCCTGAAGTGACTTCATTTGCATAATTAATATTGTATAACTATATAGGGTCCATCATGTAGCCCAGCCGAGGGCTTGTCTACAGATTTAACAAGAATATTTTCATAAGCCATACTAAGTAGAAATGTTTTGCTGTTCAGTTATAGCCAGTATTCTTACTAAGTTGAATTCAGTGATCAGTACCACATCTTGGGACTTTCCTTTGCTCTTCCATGATGAAAAAGTGCTTTATGGCTTCTTTTTATTATTTTAGCCTTTAGGGCCTACTTAGGATGTTTCCCCTTCCCTGGAGATAAATGAACTTGGTAAACCCTTTTCAAGTTCAGTGCTTTCTCCTCATTGTTTGAAATGGGACTCAGTCTAGGAAATACCTCCAGCACCTGTTCAGTTCAGCTTATTGCCCTGTGGAGCACCCTGGACAAGAACTGAGGAAGGAGGCTGTAAGCCATGATCAGTGGTTTGTAGATTCTGAATGGCCTTAACATGTCATCTGGTGGTGGTTTTTCCTTTATGGACAGTCATGCCAACAAACTCTGGGGTTGCTGGAATAGGCCATAAAGGTGAGTGACTGCACTGACAGCGCTTGCACACTTCTTGTGCAAAGCACCAGGACTGCGTGTTGCTTGCGAGTGCAGTGCCTCATCTCAGGACCAGATCACTTTTCTTCACTCTTGCCCATTGTGAAGGAAGTGCGTTTGGTGAGGGTTCACCTGGAAAAGCCTCCACATGAAGGGCAGTGGCAGGCATGAGAGATTCAGGGGCCTTTTGCAGGCGTTCGGAAGGCCTTCTGGCGCACGTTCCATGCCAGCTTCTGTGAGGGTGGGTGTGCACAACGAACTTGCCATAGGCTTCTCCTGTAGCTAGTCAACATTCAGACGCTCTGCAGACCCATCGAGGAGGATTATCCTATTCCTTCCTGAATAATTTCATTGAAGGCATTGTTGCTTTTCTGCATGTTGAAGAGCCTTTTGCCAAGGGGGATGTGGGTCCATTCACACAGGAGTAGGCAATCTGCCTGCAGTTAGTTTGGGTCTCAGGTTCCATCAGCTTCAGCCAGCATGGCCAGTGGTCAGGGATGATGGGAACTGCACTCCAAGCATAGAGGGCACCTAGTTGCCTATCGCTAATCAAACCCAGTGGTATTTGCTTTGAGTGCAGCAGCTCTCCAGGGCCTAATGGTTTTCCCTGGTCCTGAAGCTCAAGCCCATTTTACTTGGTGCTGCCAGGGACAGAGCATGGGATTTCTGCATGCCAGGCCAATGCTCCAACCCTTAAGTGGAGCCAGTGTGGTGTAGTGGTTAAGAGCATGGGACTGGGACTCAGACGATCTGGGTTCTAGTCCCCGCTCGGCCATGGAGCCAACTGGGTGACTTTGGGCCAGTCACAGACTCCCAGCCCAACCTACCTACCTCACAGGGTTGTTGTTGTGGGGATAAGATGGAGGAGGAGATGTAAGCTGCCTTGAGCCCTTTGTAGGAAAAAGGCAGGATACAAATAAAAAAAGTGGCAGATTTCATGTCATGTAGTTGATTACATCAGGACCTTGATACATCAGGATCCGCAATGTTTTTGCCTGTGCTCCACAGGGAATTCTTTCCCCTTCCTGAAGGAAGTCACTGTTCCCCACATCGTGCCCCTCCTGTGCCTCATGGAAGGAGAAGAGATTTGGGGTGAGGACGAGGAGACGTGTGAGGTCCTTCTGCGAACACTGGAAGCCGCTCGCCACATGGCCACTAACGCTGGTGCCTTTCAAGTCAGTGCTGAAGCCAAGCTCCAAGGTAAGGACAGTGCTTGAAAATGTGGCTGAGCGTATAGGAGGCCATCTGTCCTCCAGGAGCTGAACCTGACCTACCAGGCTGCCTTTAGATCAGGGGTGAGGAACGTGAGGCCCTCCACGTTGTGGTCTACAACTTCTGTTGTCCCTAGGCAGCATAATCAACAGGAAGGGATGGAGGGAGTTGTAGGCCACATGTTGCCCACCCCTGCTGTAGAGATTTTAAACTGGCCTTTTAATCTTTTATGTATCTCGGTTGATGTCCCACAGAATGGGGCTTTCTCATTTGTTTTCCTCAGCAAATAGGCCAGGACATACTATAGGTATCTATGGATTTCATGGTCATGCAGGTATTTGTCGTCCTAGTGTCAACAGACAACCAAAAGGAAAAAATAAAGCAAGCAAGAGACTACTACTACTATTAGTAGTATTAGTAGTAGTAATGGCCAGCTTCAAATAATAATGTTGTAGTAACATTTTTGCACAGGAAATCTGAAGCAGTTGTAAGAGTTTGCCTGGTGTACACTGTGCACAGCACGCTACCATCGGGTCCAGCCCTTGAAACTAATGGCTTGTTCAGGCATCTGTGCTCTATGCCAAGGACCATCCCCAGACTGCTCTGCCTCTCTGCTTGTGCTTACATGTGTGAGCTGTCCTTCCCCTGGGCAAACTCTGACTCACCTAGAGAGTTTTGCTGCCTTCCTCCTCTAGGGCTAGATGAGAGACCCAAGATAACAGGCGCCTAGTACATTCCTTTCCCTGCAGGTTTCAAGATAAGGAAATGTGGGGCATATCTTTTCTGCATATAGTATGCATGCTTGCATAGGATCTGAAACTGTACACAAACATATTTGGTGCTTCAAGCTTGTGTTAACATGCCTGTTCTTTCTTGCTTCAACTTGCATGCACCCGCCATCAGTTCCAAGAAGTGTGAGTCTTTGAAAGAAGGGCCCTCTTTATTGACATGTGGCCTTTGGATCCTAGGATGAGATGTTAATCCACTGCTCTGTTAATCCACCACTGTACTACTGAGTGAACATATTTGTGCACCCCCTACTGGTGCCCCATGTCTTCTCTGGCAGGATGCTCTACTGTCTTTGGAACAGGCAGTATCTTTTGTGACACTCTAAAGTAGGCGGCATTACAGCTCTCTTCATTCTCTGCTTTTGCATCCTTTTCTCCACTCAGGATTCCAAGCTACTCCAGAGCTCCTGGAAGCATTCCAGACAGAATTCTCACTGCGGTTATTCTGGGGCAGCAAAGGAGCTGAGGCTGATCAGGCTGAGAGGCACAAAAAATTTGAACGGATCCTGACAGTTCTCTCCCAGAAACTAGAGTGAATGAGGCATCAGACAAGAGTTCTGTACTTCTGCTTTGCTAGTTGGAGTGCAAACAGAGAGTGACAAAGAAAAATGGTGAGCCGTAAAGAACCCTCCACTGACAGGAGGAAGCCTGGGCCTCCTAGAGACCAACTTGAGTGGAGGGCACTGTTTGTTAAAAGCAGAAACTCATCTGTTGGAAGCAGCACTCCTTATGAAGCATAACTGGTCTTCCTTCTCTAAAGCACTACGACCGTTGTTCCCTCATCTCCATCCCCAAATCCAGTGCCGCCTTTGTCAATGGGGGCAACCTCTGGCACAGCCACAGTATGAGATAAGTGGAAAGCATTTTGTCAGTTGTGGTGTTGAAAGTATGCTGCTCTCTTTACTTACTCTACCCTGATTGCAGATTACAAATGTCATGCTCTGGGATTGTAGGCAGAGGTCTAAAACCTTTCATGACCACTGGGTACATAGCCTGTTGTTTCGAAACTTGCTTAGGGTATCAGTGTTGGCAATTGTGATCACAGGGAAAGCAGAAACTGACTAATCTGGAACAATGGTGTTACATTCTGTGTGTGGCAAAGGTGTTCCTGTGTTTAACATCTTTCATTCTGCATGTGTGGCACTCCAATTGTTGAAGTTTACTATACTGTTGTTTAAATTTTTAGCTCCTTTACTACAAAGAAGTCTTACAGGAAGAGTACGTCTGCTACACCTTTGAAATCTCTGTACCTTGCCAGGTAGAAGACATCTTAGAGGAGGGGATAGACAGGCTTTAGGTTGGAGACATTCATGCCAGAAGCCCGAGGCCTGCTAACTAGAGCCCAAGTGCAAAAATGTAGCTCAAGGAGTTGACCAGAAAACTGAGAAGCAAGGTGCAGTCCAGGGATTTGTCTTTAGTACTGTAAGTGGGATTCACACAACATTTTACTTATTTTCCCATAAGCTTGCTTGGGTTTAGTGGCCTAATTCAGGAGGGGCAAAATGCTTTTGTTGGTGCTGTTAAGACAGGAAGGCAGACGTCTCTGCTGCAATTCAGCTTGAGGTCTACCAGTCTCTGTGTCAGGGAAAGTGACCTGCCTATGGGTATAAACAAATATGTAAGTTATAGAAAACTAATAAAATCTCTTCTCCCCTTCCAAAATAAGCTATACAAAGGCTTAAGGATACTTGATAAGGAAGAAAGCTTCACAGGGTCAAAATCTTGCAGAAAAAGGCAATTCTACCAGTGCAGTAGGAAGATAACCGATGCTGGTGGAGGCTAGGACTAGCTACTGGTCCCTGCAGCACCTCCTCATCTGTTAGAGAAACGACTGGGATCTTCTTACATCCTGTCTTCAAAAAGCCAGGTTTTAAAAAACATCTGAAAATGTCTGCACACAAATGTGTCTGAACTAACATAGTTTCTTTGCCTCATTTTAACTATCTGGTTAGGTATCCTGTGCTTTTTCCATTCTAAGGAGCTACATCTCAGCCTGCAGAAAACTCCAATTAGAATAATCTGTTCCAATTGCAAGGCACATCCTGGACAGTTGGGGTTGGGGCGGGGGAGAAAGAGATCCAGACTGATTCTTCAGAGTGTTAAAACCCACTGTACTAACAGATTCAGGGCTACTTTTTCTTCCACCCCAGCTTGGCATGGCCAGAACAGGAAAAAAGCAAGGATTGCTATACTAGTTGGACTCTTTTATTCTGCTCTTTTCATCCCCCAGTCTCGGGGGCTCCTGCACTAACAAACAGCATTGTAAAGCTATTTATGCTTTTCTACTTGAATTTTTTTCTGGTAAGGAAAAAAATGGAAGCAGCCATGGAACAACACAGAAGGGCTACAAATTGGTATCTTCTGGATTTCCCATTAATTCCTTAACTGGGGCAAGAGAACTGGCACAGTAAAGCCTCATCCCGAAGCAACCTACCATTTTTACATCTTACATAGGAGCCGCACAGGACAAGGGCTGAGATAAGCTACAGGTAGTGGGTTTTTAAAGAAGTTTATAAAAATGTTAGACTCTGGCATGTATGTTATTTGGGAGCCTACCACTACTGTTCTGCTCACTCCACCACACACACCCCACACCATAAAAACCCACTCTTGGAGGCCAGAGAAACCAGACGCCAACTGCACAGGCACCCACAAGTTAATTTTGTCTGCTATTTACATAAAAGTGTAAAAAGGCACCCAGAAATACATTCTACATCTCAAGAGTGAGTGTGTGTGTGGCTCAGGCCCCTCAAACCTGCCTGCCAAGTATGGAAGAGGAAAAGTCAGGGCATTGTACAGATTATGTGAATAACAAGCTAATCTGAATGGTAAAATAAATTGGTCACTGGATAAAAAGACTAATGCATTAGCGTCCACTTTAACCCCCTCCCCCCTCCACACACACACACACAATTCACAGAGATGGGCATGGGGCAGGCAGCCAGCCACTGGCCACCCCCTGGCAGCAAAGGCCTTGCAGGGGAGGGGCTTTAAGGAACAGGCACTTTTGAATGGCTGAATGGGCCAGGCCAATCAAATCCAGTAAAAATAAAGTGCATTTTAAGGAGAGTATCACGTTGGCTTGGCACCAGTGCGGCATTTGTTTTGCCCTCTGAGCAGAGGTCCTACTGGTGGTGCTCACACCGAGCCAAAGTAGCAATGGCAGTCGCCTGGCATGCCAAGCAACTTTGCACTTTCTTCCCCCCCCACCCGCCCTCAAAAGGAAAGCCAAAAGGCATGCATAGCAGCAGTCATGAGGGTGCAAATTGTAGGCTTCCGACCCGGCACTTTGCAGTTTACTGAGCACCTCAGAGTCTCAAAAGCACCCCCCCCCCCAGGCATCTAATTCAGGGTGCGGGGAAAAGCAGTTACCTGTTTCTAGAGGAGACAGCTTTGCTCCGGCCAGCTTGCCCAGGGGGGTGGAAGGCGGACTACCAGCACACCACAAAGTGGAGCCAGGGCCTGCTGCTGGTGCAGCTGGGGGAGGGGAAGCCATGCACGTGCACCACACAAATCTCCTATGTCTTCAATGATCCACCCACTTCAGAGCCAGGAAATAAGATGTCTCTCCTCTATGTAAAGCTGTAACTATTGCTGAAGGAGATGGGGGTGGCGCTCTTGCTAGAGAACATCTTACAAGGAATATAGTGTAGCAATGTTTGCCCTGAAGGTGGTGGGTTGTGGGGGAACAAGTACTGGGTGGACGAGGCCAGTCTCCTCCTTGGGCTCTTATCCATGACCTTGTTCTGAATAGGCTATCAACATTCAACATCCAACAAGAAGCTGATTCTCATCTCCCATGACTGCAGTAGCAATTTGGAGCAAGGTTCCTTCTTTTACGGGCCCTGTGCACAGCGGGCATCATGCCGTTCTTGCCAGTCAACTGAATTGCCACACGTTCTTTGCACAGGTTCCGTTGTCAAACTGTGGTCTCCAAGGTGCAGCTCCTGGGATGTCATCATCAATGTCCCACTCAGTTTACATTAACCCTCAAGTAGGAGGTAGGGACATAGCCCTCACCCCCTTTGCTTCGCCGTACACGTGTCCACCCATCCCCTTTATCTTCCTCCATCAAGCTGAGCTCCTCACCCTCCAGCATGGAGATTGTACCTTCACTGGAACCTGGGGGAAAAAACAAGCAAGCCGGACAGGTGAGCTGAAAGCAAGAATAACGAGAAGACGGAACTGCCTGCAACTTACTGAGTGCAGGTGACATCCAAACCAGTGAAAGCCATGGCAGGCTTTGGGCAGCGGCGGGGTGGGGACAAAAATAAAACGTGGGACTTCCTTCAGCACTCAACAGGTTAAAACTCTATGCTGATGCCACCATTGCTGTCCCCAGCAGAACACCCCCTCCCCCAGCACCAGGGAGGCATTGCCACCATTCATTCCTGAAAGAGCCAGCAGCTTTCTAGGGAGGCTGGACTTTTCGCTTGCTGAGAATCTGCAGGACTGCAGAAGATGCAACTGAGAATTCTAGTGTGCATGATGTTGTTTTTTAAACTTTTATGTCTGGAACAATAGGCTTCAGAAAGTGGACAAAGGCAGGGTGTAAGAGAGGCCAATTTTTGTCCTCTAGATGTTTTGGACTACAACTCCCATCAACACTAGCCAGGATAGGTAATGGTGAGGGATGATTGGGTGAGGTTGGCGTGTAGAAAGTTTCAGACTCGATGCCTGGCATCTCCAGGGTGGGAAAAATTCCTGCCTAAACCCCCCAGCCACTAGTCAGTGTGGGCAATGCTGAGCTGGACATATGTGGCAGTTCCTTTGGTTCCTATGAATTATAGATAGAAACATCTGTAGGGCCACAGGTTTGCACTGGTGAGCGGTCTCGGTGCACCTAAAGCTGCAGCCTCCGCAGAGGTAGCTAGAAGGTCGCTGGGATCCTCAAGGCAGAGCAAGAGATACCAAAATAATTGGCTTATTTTACAAGGCAGCACTCCAAGCTGGCAGAACAGGAACAGTGCCTGCCTGCCTGCCCCCCTCCCCCCGATATTCCTTGTGAATGCTGCAACTGGGGGACTTTGCTGAGCAGGTACCTTCAAACTGGTAAAGGGCCACACAGGTACTGATGGGTGATGACAACTCCTCCTCAAAGTCCTCGTCAAACTCTGTGTAGATGGGCTGGTTTAGTGTGTCCTGGCTCCCATCAGAGTGGGTGGTGTCAGGGCTGCAAAGGTGAATAAAGGCAAGAGTGGGAACCATCACAGCAGGCATGGTGCTACCTCCAGTAGCTGGATCAGAGTTGGCCAAAAAGCCAGAATCAAAGTCTAGGACTTCCAGCAAGAAAGCCTTCCACAGGCAAATGCTTTGTTTCCATCTCCCAAGCCCTCTTTGAAGATGGCCCACTGAAGGCCTAAGACAGGTGCAGAACCTCAGGAGTCCTTGCCAAATCTGGTTGTATGGAAGTCTTAGTTCAGGACTCTGGGATCCCCTCTTCCCTGGCTTCATCCCGTTTCCCCCAAACACTGATCCTTTGGTGGTTTCCCAGCTTCTGTGCAATGTTTGTACTTAATTAATGACAGTAAGAGCTTTAAGCTACACTATGCCAGCGTGGTTTTTTAGGAACATGCTTTGGAGCCCACACTTTTGCTTTCAATCCCACCTAACACTGGAATGCAGCCTCTGAAAACTTTTTGAAAATGGAATCTGGCCCTCAGGCAGACAGGTTTCGTGCCCCAGCATAAGCAATGGAGAGAGAGCCTCCACAGTTTGGTGGTACCATGAGCTGCAAATACTTTTTCTGAGCGAAATCCAGCAAGAACAATGGGATGTATGTATCAAATAAAGTGATAAAATGGAGGAATGAGGGGAATGGGAGGAAAGGGGAAAACAAAGAACTTGTAAGGGGAGGAGAAGGGCAAAGTGTTATCCCAGGCAAAAAAGCCTCTCTTCAGCCAACAGGAAGAACTAGCCATTTCCCACGCTCCCCACCTATCAGTGGTGCACCAAGAGTGCCCATGGACTACAAAGGGCAAGTGCCTCATGCAACACAAGCCATGCACTGCTGGGGATCTTTGCCAATTTGACCTCAGAGTAAGCTCTCTCCCAAACATGAAATGGGTTAGCTCTTTGCAAGGAAGTAGGGCAACACTGGTGGACTACTGGGAACAGGTTCTCTTGCTTTTACATGCTCTGCTGAGGAATGTGATGAATTCAGTCCGACACACTGTCTGCAACCCGTGCATGCACGCACATGCCCAGAATTCCACAGCATATAGCAAGGGGCTTAGTCCTGGAAAGACATTCCAAGTGACTGTCCAGGTGGCGCCTCCCAATCTGGGGCCTGATGCAAGCTTGTCCTGACATGCCAGAGAACTGAAGTGAGCAATACTCACAGGAGCAACTAATTCCAGATCCGGGGGCAGGCCGCCACTGCTTCTAGACAAAGTGACTGGCCATGCTGGCAGATGCCACGAATACAGAGATTCAAGTGCCTCAAAGCCTGGCTCCTCTGTTCAGGAAGAGGCTGCCATAGAATAATAGCGCTTTTTTACCCTACTCCCCACAACCATTTTTCACCTGTCTTTCTCATGGGAGCAGTTGTTGTTGTTCAGGGCACTGGCGTGATCCACGTGGCGGCTGTAGCGTGCAACTGACTCGGGACGGTTACTTAGCATTCTGTTCTCTGCATCCGCCAACCAAGCCTATACAAAGCCATAAAGATGGACCTCAGTTAGGGAACATCACACGGTGTTCACAGCAGTGGTGCCTGGCCTGTTGCATAACTCTGCCTGCAGGATTATCCCTGGAAGTTAGTAAATGTGCTTATAGCTTGGGTTACTCTGTTACTGAAGGAAACAATGCAGACTTTCCCCCTCCTACTCAGGGTGAGCCAAGAATACTGCAGCGCCTGGGACAAGATACTGAGAATCACCTGCTGCTGCTGCTCCCCCTCCTCCTCCGCCCCCCAAGCACCATCCTCTCCCTGGGAAACCCCTGCATGGGCCACCACGCAGGTGGCTAGCAGCCTACTCTTGCTTATCCCAATGAGCCATCATGCATATTGAGCTACTGCAATGCAGTGGCTACGAATACAGGCCGAGGGGGCCTAGTTCAGCTACACTGCTGGCTCCTGAGACCCCTTCCACATGAAGAAGATGAAGGGGTGCAAGCTGAGACCTCTGCCGTTCTGACTGTCTTGAGTGGCTCTGTAATAAGTGGGCGTTGTTCAGCTATAGAAGTGCTGAGTAGAGGCTTAAGCCTGCCACCCTCTGGGTCTGTTCCTGTTCCTCACTTCTGCCAGACCTTCTCCAGCTTCAGGCAACCATACTGCCCAGTAAACCATATGGTATTCACAACACTGGATTATGATTCAGGGTTGTAAGGATCACTAAGAGAAACGAATGGCTAGGGCTTATTAGCTGCCTCTCCAATAGCAATTGCTGAATAAAGTGATGCACTTAAAATAGATCAATATAAACCATAAAACCTGGTGCCAACTGCCACAGGAACATGAAAATTGAGCCCCGACACATTTAAAAAGTACCAGGTTGTGGAAGTTACTGTATTTTTCCATGTACAAGATGATACTTTTTCTTTAAAATATTTACTTAAAAAGAGAGGGGCATCTTATACACGGGGGGCTGAGAGGAGAACCGTGGGCGCGCGGGGGGGGAGACTGGGGCAATAACAGGTGCACTCGAGGGGAGACTGGCGTGATCATGGGCGCGCACACAGAGAGGCAGCGGGTGGGCGCATGCGGCAGCAGCTTGTTCACTCAGAGATCGGTAAGAAAAATGGGGCGCGTCCTATACATGGGGGCATCTTATAGATGGAAAAATACAGTATCTTAGAAGTAGCAACAAAACCTAAGAACTGCAAGACAGCTGGCTTGCCCCATCCTTCCCAGCCCAGTCCCCATTGCTAAGCCCTTACTTCACATTTCTGAATTTCTAGGCGCAATCTCTCAATGTTGCCCAGTGTTTCGGAGATCTTCGGCTCAAGACTATTGGGATCTCCCATTTGTGGTGTCTTCTGGTAAACATCCTTCATCTTATTTAAGGCATCCCTAAATGGAAGGGAGGAGAACAAGCACTTGTTTCTAGAATAAGCCTTCTTGCAGAAAGCAGGCATCCCCCTAAATCCCAAACCCAGAGCGTTTGTTAACACATCATAAATGATGTTGGCTGCTTTATCGTGCCACACTGGCCCAAACGCACTGGATCTGCTGCACTTAATCCTTTGGGTAAGAAACCTTCCAAGTTATTCCCAAAAGGACATAATGGAGACCATAATGGAGATAAGTTTTGACACCTTAAGGACTGACACAGTTTTTATGGCATCAGGATTTATAGACTAAAGTTTATCGAATGCATGATGTATTCTCTTAAATGTGGGCACTGAGATCAGAGGGAAATGAAAAAGTGCAGACTGTGACAATTCCCCAAAAGACTAAAACGTACATATTTACACTGCATACATGTATAAATGTTGATAATTAACACAAACATCCTGGCATTCCTAAGCCAATTAACACCAGTAATGATATAAAAACATCCTGAATTGAGATAATGCTATATGTTATCTGCCTGCACCTGTTAATACCTTACTAATTCCAGGTGCTAAAAAAGCGCACCACAACTAGGCCTCTACACACAGATAACAAAATAATCTCAACATTACAATCCTACTCCATGCCAAATATGTCAATTAACAAACTTTTTGGGGGGGGGGTCTTCTCAGCTAGTAAAGCCTCTGAGTTATCAAAGTGGACAGGGCCGACAAAGACAGAGGAGATGGTAGGCTTTACACTGCCAGAGCTAAATCTGTTATGTGAAATGTTGAAGGCTGGATGGTTAAGACTTGTCAGGGACTTGTAAACCAATACTAATTACAGATTTTGAAAGACCCAAATGATGATAATTCTGATTTGGCACATTTTAATTTTCTGCATGTTCTGAATTTTCTGAATGTTCAAACTACCGCACCATTGCACTCATGTCACATCTAGCAAAGTTATACTCAAAATCCTATCACTTCCTGCCAAATCGATGGGGAAGGAATGGACAGATTTTACTTTCCTGGGCTCCAAGATCACCACAGACAGGTACTGCAGCCAAGAAATCAAAAGACGCTTGCTCCTTGGGAGGAAACTACAGCAAATCTAGACAGCATACTAAAAAGCAGAGACACCACCCTGCCAACAAAAAGGCAGGTTGCTTACCTGTAACTGTCATTCTTCGAGTGGTCATCCTTGCATTCACACACCAATGGGGCTTGACGTGCAGCATAGGCCTCATCCGGTGGAGACTTCCTGAGCTGGTCGCCATGGAGTAGGGGGGAGCCAGAACCGCCCCACGCCCTAGTGGTACATAAGCAGCAGCTCCTGCCCATTCCCTCAGTGCCTGAAGACCACGTTGTCCCAGGCGTGTGAGGGATCCGAGCATCATATATGAAGCGGTGATCATGCCCTGCCCCAGCCCATATGGGGCGGAAGCTGACGACAGCGAGTGGGGCGAAGGGCGGGTTGTGTGAATGCATGGATGACCACTCGAAGAACGATAGGTAAGCAACCTGCCTTTCTGCTTCGTGGTCTCCATGCAAATCACACACCAATGGGGCGATTATCAAGCTGGCCCCTCAGAAGGAGGGGGGCTATCATCATCACCGTATAGATGAGAGGATGGCCCTTCCAAAGGCTCAGTCCTGTCTGGCACGGACGTCTAGCTGGTAGTGGCGAGCAAAGGTCAACGGTGTGGATCATGTTGCTGCCCTGCAGATTTCCTGGAGAGGAACGCCTGTCAGTAGAGCAGTGGATGTGGCCTGGGCGTGCGTGGAGTGTGCGCGTGGCTGTCCAGTCATCAGGATCTTGGCCATCTTGTAAGCAAGGGAGCTGGTGTCTTTGGCTGGAGACAGCTTCTCCAGCTTTGGGGCCCTCGTAGCAAACGAAGAGGTGCTCTGAGTGGCGGGTGGTCTCCGTCCTGGACCTATAGTAGGCAAGGGCCCTTCTAACCGGGGGGGGGGGGAGTGGGAGATGGCCACTAGGTGAACCCTGATGGAAGAGGGGGAGAGGCCCGCTGCAAAGCGGGATTGCAGGTACTTCAGGACCTCCAGTTCCATGGAGGCTAAGGAGGGGTCAAGGCCCTGTGCTGCAGCGGAAGCAGAGAAGGCTTTCCATTTAGCCTCGAAAGAGTGGCGCGTGGAGGGTCTGAGGGCAGCCAATAGCATGGTGGCAACAAACCGAGATAGGGGGCCATAGGGTTCTGTTGGGGGGTATTTTCCAGGCCGTTAGGCGCAGGGTCTTGAGGTTGGGGTGCAGGACCCTGCCCTGATCCTGGGAGAGGAGGCTGGACCTGAACGGCAGGTGGTAGGTGTTCCCTGACAGGCGAAGAAGAAGAGGGAACCAGGGTTGTCTCGGCCACCAGAGAGTAATGAGAATGCAGCTGGTCCCCTCCCTCTGGACTTTGGCCGCTACTTTGGTGATCAGGGGGGAGGAGGTGTAGAAGAGGCCCCCCCTCCCATCTGTGTAGGAACGCATCCCCCAGGGATGCCCTGCCTCATCCTGCTCAGAAGCAGAACGACCTGCACTTTGCGTTGTTTGGGGTAGCGAAGAGGTAGGTCCTGGGCTGACCACATTTGGTGCACAGGGAGAGGAAGGTGGCCGTCTCCACCCCCCACTCGTGGGGGGTGGAGTTTGCGCAACTGAGGGAGTCAGCTAGGGGGTTTAGGCACCCTGCGATGTGCACTGCGGTGATGGTGACGCCCTTCTGGGTGCACCAGTGCCAGAGGTCTGAGGTCATGGTCATGAGGCGGGTGGAATGGTTCCCTCCCTGCTTGTTCAGGTAATACATGATGGTGGTGTTGTCTGTGGCTACCTGAACATGACATCCTGACAGGGTGGCCTGGAAGGATGCCAGGGCCTTCTGGACCGCCAGCATCTCCAGGGTGTTGATGTGGAGACGGGCCTCCCTCTGGTCCCATTGAACTAGAGTATTCATGTCTGCGCAGTGAGCACCCCAGCTGGTGTTGGACACGCTGGTGGTGACTGTCACGGAGGGCTGGGGGGAGGAGGTTATGCCCATGGTGAGGTTGTCCATGGCGGACCACCATAGTAGAGATTCCCTGACCTCCTAGGGGGCGCTATCAGGTGGGGTGTGTGAGGGTCTTCCTCCCACACGAAGGCTCTCACAAGCCACAGCTGAAGAGGTCTCATGTGAAGTCTTGCCCACTGAAGCACTGTGACTGTGGCGGCCATGAGGCCCAGCAGCTTCTGGGTGGTGTAAGCGGTGGAGAGAAGTACGGCCCTGACGGCTGCAGGCAGGGTGGCAATGGCCTCTGCCCTTGGCTTCGGCAGGAAGGCTTCGGCAAGGGTGGTGTCCAGGCAAGCCCCTATAAAGCGTATAGATTGTGTGGGGGAGAGAACAGGTTTGTCATGGTTTATGAGGAGCCCCAGGTCCTGAAGGAGGCAGCGTGTCAGAGACAGGTCACGCAGTAAATCCTACCTGGAGGGGGCCGCGAGGAGCCAGTCATCCAGGTAAGGAAAAAACCTGTATCTCCTGGAGCCTGAGGTGGGCGCAAACGATTGCCACACATTTGGTGAATACGCGTGGGGCCATGGCTAACCAAAGGGCAGGACGTGGAATGGGAAGGCCTGCTGGCTGATCTGGAAGCGCAGGAATACCTGAACTCAGGGTGGATCTCAATATGGAAGTAAGCGTCCTTGAGGTCTATGGAGGCAAACCAGTCTCCTTGATTAAGAAGAGTGAGAATGCCCTGCAGTGTGACCATCCTGAACTTCTTAGGGGTGATGCACTTGTTCACCCTCCTCAAGTCCAAGATGGGCCTTGGAGTCCCATATCGCTTGGGTACTGTGAAGTACCTAGAGTAAAAGCCCCTGTGGTCAGAGGGGGAAAATTGCCCCCTTGTCCAGCATGGCTTGTACTTCCGCCCATAGGACGGGCGATGGGGTCGTGGTCCTGATGGGGGCGAGGGGTGGGAGAAAGTTGAATTCTATTCTGTACCCCAACCTGATGATGGAGAGGACCCAGGAGTCTGAAGTGATGACCTCCCATGCGGGGAGGAATTGCGCCAGGTGGTCTGTGAAGCGGATGGTGGGAGGTGGAGTAGCGGAAGAGGTGGTGGAGGCGCTGCCTGGGCGAGGGCATCATACCCTGCGCCTGTTGTCCTGGTGCTTCTCCAGGGGCCTCTGGCGGGGTTGGAAGCCCTGCCTTTTGTTAGCAGGTGGCGCTCTGGAGCACATGGGGCAGTCTGGACCAGAATGGCGACTGGGGGACCGACTGGGTTCCCTGCCAGCTCCTCTGTGTCGGGCCCTGGCCAAAGCCCACGCGCTTCCCAGTGGTGTGCACTTTGCAGAGAGTTCATACGGTCATCAGTTTGGGTATTGAAGATGCCTTCGCCGTCGAAGGGCAGGTCTTCAAAGCAGGCTCGGGTTTCAGTGGGGAGAGAGGTGGAACGCCGCTAGGCATGGCATCATGTAGCCACAGCCCCCACCATGGCCTTGCTGTCACAGTCGATGTGATATCGAGCTGCCCCAGTGTACATGAGGCGGACAGGCTCACGCGGGTGCTCAGCGAGCTGGTCCACAATAGCTCCCAGCTTTTCCCATAGGAAAAGTTGGTACCTGGCCATAGTGGCCTCATAGTTGGATATTCTGAAGCCAAGCGCAGATGTGGCATAGATCTTTTTGGACATAGCGTCCAAGTGGCACCCCTCTCCGTCCACTGGGATGAACTGGTCCCTCTGTGGGGTACCCTGCATGGCCTCCACGATGATGGAGTTGGGCCTAGGGTGGTGGAGTAGGGAGGGGAAGGGCTTGGCCTTAACTTTGAACCTGGATTCAGCCCTGCGTGAGGTGGCCAGAGGGCCATATGGGGCCTTCCAGGACTGCTGCACTGTGCGCAGCAGGGCAGGCATGAACAGGATGGACACTGTGGTGTTGTTCCCAGAGGCAAACGCATCATAGCATGGGTCTGCCTCAGTTCAGGGGGTGGCAGGTTTGGAAGCTTAAGTCCTCGGCCATGTGGAGCACCAGCTCAGAGAAACTACTTCCCTTGGCAGGTGAAAGGAAACGATCCTGGTCGAAGGCCTGCCTTCCTGGGGAGTGGGTTGAGGTTGCAGAGGAGTGGGGGCATCCCCGGACAGGGGAACGGCTCTGACCTGAGTCCTGCGATATTGCCCCTTGATGGCGGGTGCTCCTGTCCCGATGGGCAGCGTGTGTGTTTGCGGCACGAAGCAGGGCTGTGGGAGCCCTGGCGCTGGCGGGGGGCTGGGATAGGCCTCGTCACTTGCAGAGTTCTTGCTGTGCCAGCGGTGCTTGTTGGGCCTGTGAGGACTGTACTCATAGCTGGAGGCGCTGCTTGACTCGCCACTAGGTGAGATCCAGCAATGGCGAAGAGCTGCAGTGCTGTAATCTGATTGGCGAGAGCCCTGCTTCCAGCTGAGCAGCCATGAGGTCCTGGAGCGCTCCTGCCAGCTGCCTCGGCCTTGCACATGCGTCCTGGGTGCTGGCAGTGAGGCAGGAGAATGTTTGCGCCAGCGGTGGTGACGATCTCTAGAGGCAGAGTTGCTAGAGGAAGAGAGGGTCTGTGTATGTTGCGCCCTTCTAGGCCTCTTCCTTGAGGCCGGGAGCCTGGGCCTGGTGCAGGGAGCACAGGCCTCTGATGAAGCCGACTCAAAATTGGCTGGGCAGGGCCTCCCCGTCGGCTGAGAGCTGAAGATCATGGAGCTGGAAAGAGGGGAGGCCTCTAGCTGTTGTGATGATCCCTCTTGGTTCGGGGCGGGGGGGCGATGAGTCTGCTGGCTCCATTGCAGATCCTCAGAGCAGGCGGGCACCACGGGAGATTGGCGTTCCCCTGGGGGGAGGGGGTGAGACACTCCAGCAGTGGCCTCCGTTGCCATGATGGTGGCCATGCTGTGTGCAGGGGTGGCCAGAGGTGCGGGCGGCGTTGCCAGGAAGGTGGCGCCTGCCTGCTCCAATCCCGGAGCAGCGGAGGTCGCACCCAAGGGCGCTCCACCGGCCGGGGAAACTGGGCGATCCGCCAGCACCACAGTGTTGGAGGGGCCTTCCCATGGCGATGCTGCCCTCCTCCTTGCCCTGGCGGGCTTAGAGGAACCCTCCCCAGGGGGGTTATGCACTCCCAGGGTAGAGGATGTGAGGGCGCGCCGCCATAAGGTCTGTTCAAGACGTGCGGCTCTTTGTCGTCGCGTCTGCTTCATAGAGGCCTGGCAATGGGTGCAAGTCTCCACGATGTGCCCATCGCCAAGGCAGAGGAGGCACTTAGCGTGCCCATCGTTGGCGGGCAGCCTAGCTGCACAAGAGGTGCAGCGACATGGAGTTGAATCGCCCATGCAGTTCCTTAAAGGACACACGTGGGTGATTCAAGAAAGAAAGGAGAGAAAACTGAAGATCGAGAGAGGTAGGAGAAAGGAAGGGGAAAGAAGCAGCAGCCTTCTCTCCATGTAGTTAAGGGAGAAGGTGGTTTTTGTTTTTTTTTTTAATAGAAGGAGAGACAGAGAAAAGAAAGAAAAAATGGTGAACCGTTTGGGCTGGAGAGGTCTGATACAGAGAGTGAAGCCCAGCGCGGTCAAAAAGGAACTGAAGGAATGGGCAGGAGCCACTGCCTATGTGCCACTAGGGTGTGGGGCGGTTCTGGCTCCCATCCACTCCATGGCGACCAGCTCTGGAAGTCTCCACCGGATGAGGCCTATGCTGTGCGTCAAGCCCCATTGGTGTGTGAATGCATGGAGATGTGAATATAGTCAAGGCTATGGTTTTCCCAGTTGCAATGTACGGCTGTGAAAGTTGGACCATAAGGAAGGCTGAGCACCGAAGAATTGAGGCCTTTGAATTGTGGTGCTGGAGGAGACTCCTGCGAGTCCCTTGGACTGCAAGGAGATCAAACCAGTCAGTCCTAGAAAAGATCAACCCTGACTGCTCTTTAGGCAGCCAGATACTGAAGAAGAAATGCAACTACTTTGGCCACCTAATGAGAAGGAAGGACTCCCTGGAGAAGAGCCTAATGCTGGGAACAATAGATGGCAAAAGAAGAAGGGGATGGCAGAGAATGAGGTGGCTAGATGGAGTCACTGAAGCAGTTGGTGTGAGCTTGAGTGGACTCCGAGGGATGGTGGAGGACAGGAAGGCCTGGAGGAATGTTGTCCATAGGCTCGCGATGGGTCAGACACGACTTTGCGGCTAGCAACAATTTTCTGCAAGAATGAATTTCAGCTCAGCCATTCAATCTATGCAGATTGCTCTTTCCTGAAGCCCAAGTACAGAGAGAAGGTAATTGATTTTCAGTTCTCACCTCTGGTCCAGCTCTTTCTGCAACTCCCGGTTTCTTTCGTCAATCTTCTGCTGTAGCTTTTTTCTCCTCTGCTCTGGAGGCAAATGGCTAAAATCTTCTGTGATCACTGTCTAGCATCAGGAAAAGACACATTTATCAGTTCCACTGGTGCTCATTCCCAGACCTTCTTCTGACCTGCTTGAGTGCCTGCAGCCTGCCATCTTCCTCTGCAGGCTGACATCTGTTGCCCTAATCTGCTCAGCTCATGTAGGTACAACACTTTCCATAGCCTAAGACAAAGACAGCACTTGGTAGGCTGCAGTAAGCAGCGATTCTCTCAGACCCTGGAACCTGGCATTGTTCCAGATCTTGGCCACTAGATGTGAACAAGTCAACCAGAAACAATCATCAATTAAAAAGCACTTCATAATATTATTTTATTTTTGACAAACCTGTAGGCACTGGCACCCTTTCCTTCTGAAGAGTGAAAAGCTGCTAGAGGAAGCTATTTTGTTAGGAAAAGCATGATCTTCTACTCCAAGCTTCAGTTTTCCATAGCTACTTTGTGTAAAATAATAATATTCATGTGATTGAGCATATATAATTTGACCTTAAGCCCTAAATGGCTTGGTTAAGTCCAGCTAAAATGCCTAACACTCTTGAGGTGGAGCAGCAAAACTGAGCAGCTTTTCTACCCTTGTTTTATTCTCAACTCTGAGTGTACACAAAAAGCTTTTAGGCTCAGAACATAGTGGTAGAATGAGAGGCCACCCTCCCCTCTTCACTGGGAAGGGGCAAAAAGGAAGCAGAGGACCTGTTTGCCGGACAACCAAGAATCTTTGGAGTCACCAGTTGCAACTACACCTCAGCTAGCTGGTCTGGTCGGTCAGGCCTAGGAATCTAACCAGCCTTGACCTAATGTTAGGGGGAGGGGGGAGATCTGTGTCACTCCAGTTGTTTTAGCCTTCAGCATCCATCAGCCCTAGCCAGGATAGCCACTGGAGAAGGCTGATGAGGGTCACAGCATCCAGGGGTTCACAAGGTATCCACTCTAAAGGAAACCTGTAACCTGTCCACACCCTGATCATCTCTGCCTTGAGGATTGTGGGTTAAGTTTAGAAGTAGCCCAGTAAAGGCTGCTGTGCAATGAAAATCTACCACCCTCTGATCCATTCCAATTCCATGATCCTTTGGGCTTCCAAAAGAATAGCAGGATCTGACCGATCGCCATGGCAACCATTGAAAAGGAGTTTATCCTAGGTCAGTTTGGCAGACTGGGGCTGGGTGCGGAAGATGTTTGCTTTCCTTCTATAAGGTGGGTCTCAGCTCAATCTACATGAATTACCTTGAGCTATTTGCTCTGTGAACTCCATCTGGTAATGTACTTAGAAACACAGAAACAGAGCAAGCCAGAAGGGGTCTCCTGGGCCATCTAGTCTGACCCCCAGCTCTAGCCAGCTCCACTCACGACATGCTTACCATGTGCATGTCTAGCCTATCCTTGAACACCCTCACCGATGGGGCTGCAACCACCTCCCGTGGAAGCCGAGGTTACAAGATTCCTTTAGATTCCTCCATATCCTTGGAGTCCTAACTGTCAGGAAGTACTTCCTGATATCCAAATTGAACCTTGGTTCCTTGAGCTTGGCATGGGAACAAGTTACCATGGGTACAAGTTCAGTAGAGCTGATGATCTTGCTTTGGGCTGGGGGGCTGTCTTCTGATTCCTCACAGCATTAAGTGGTTGTACAAGTTCCCAAGTAAAAGCTGAACCCCCAGCCCTCTTAGAGGTGCAGCAACTAAGCCCTCCTCTTCTTCCTCTGACTTTTATCATGAAATGCTTTGCACTTGCACATGGCGTCATGGAAGAGTGGCATAAAAATGCTTTAAGTAAATAACTTTTAATGACAGTAGGACAAACTGGCTTCTAGTATATAAAACACAAAAATAAGTATTCTTTTCCTTGATTATGGCAGTGGTGGTCACTCAACATACTATAGACCTGAGGTTGAGAAAGCAACAGACTTAGACTGCTTGCTGGTCCTGCACCAAAGAGGTCATGGCTGATCACAGATATACAGAAAGAGATTTCCAAATTGAAATTTCTATTTTCTATATTCAGTGTACCACCAAACAGTGACTGCTTTAACACAAATAACTGAAAGCTGTGACCTAGGTTTTTTTTTCCTTTTAATTGTATCAGATCCAAACCCACAGCCAATTTTCTACACTGCAGGTGCCTTTGGAAGCAGCAGAGAGAGGATGCTGATTTAGCAAACAAAATCATCCACTTACCCCCCATTTGAGGCTGCGGAAGGATGTGATGCGGGGTTTGACTGTCTTATTGATCTCGTTCAAACAGTAAGAGAGGGGGTCACAGGTGAATTTGGGGGATGGAAGTCCATTGATGGCAGTTGAGGAAGGGGAGGACAAGGAGGAGGGGCAATTTAAGGGGGAGCGGGGAGGGGGTGGGAGCTAGCGACAGACAAGGGCCAAGTATAAAAAATGGAAACATACACAAAAGAATGGGAAAAACTGTAAGAAAATAAAAAGGTACACACACAAAAACCCCAAACAGAACAGGATAATTACAGTACATTCCATCTATACGGTACATGCTTATATTTGGCCAAAAATGTCCGGCAACCATTTGCCCTAAGTAGCAATGGCTAAGTTTACCTCTCGTATTGCCTACCTCATTCACCTGACAAGACAGGAAGCATCATTGTGGTGCGCCCAATATAACAGGAATGCACTGTAATAAAACACCAGGAATACACTGGGGGAGGGGGAACAGCACGAAGGCAGAGCAACACCTCACCGTCAAGGAGCACATATGAGGGGAGGGAGAGAGGGGGAGAGCCATGCCAAGGTGCGGAGCTGCCTTCCCATGAGGGCCCCTCACGTCAAGCATCCTTGCACTGCCACAGCTACCTTCTTGAAATTCCTGGTCTCAGGTCCCGTGATTGTAGACATTAAAGAGAGGGGCCAGGCTGGCCCTAAGCCTCAGTGCTATGGGAGAATGTACTCTGAAGGGATGGGGTGCAACCTGAGCCATGAAAGAGGGGCCTTTATGCAGGAGGCTTCAGAAACTCAAGCCAGAGAGCCTTCATTCCCCATCCCTCTAGCCTTCCCTCTTCTGGCGCCTCCCCACATTCCACTTCTGGTGTTTCTGTCACTGGCACCCCCTACTTGTGGGTCAAAGCTATTTGCTTTGTTGGAGACAGAATGAAACACACAGGGCCTGTTTCTTGTGGAATGACTCATGGGGTAGGTCAAAGGACTCAGGAATGCTAGGCCCAGTTTCTATGCTCCTTTCAAGGCTACTTTGCCAACCAGTTTAAGAAAGCAGCATTCCCATGGCTTTACAACAACAACAACTTCTCACAGGCTTGTGCAAATTGGCAACTTGCTTGCAACACCTGGAGAGTCACTCCCAAGGAATTACATGTGACCTGTTTCAACATGGCTGCACCTCCCAAGGACAACAGCTTTTGGGCCATAGAAGAATGGTAAGCAGGTCATCAGCCCTGTTGTTGGGTAAAAAGAGAAGTCATGCAGGAAGAAGTAGACAATGTACATAAAGATTTACTTTGCCTGCGTGCTCCACCCTACTCTGTTGGTTTTGTTTTTTAAGCCCCAATGGCCAACACAAATTCAAAAACAAGTCTTCAAGAGTAATCGTAATCATTTGGTGCAGCCAAACAAATGCTGTATGTGGACGTGTAAATGCTTGCTCAGTTTAGGCATCATTATTTGTCCCTCTCCAGACTAGTTCAAAGCAATGTTGTCAGGAGCAAATACGGTTAGGTAGGAGGTAGCAGCTATTGTAGTACAGGGAGCTGGCAAGCACAGAACTGAGGTATTAAGCAGGATGTCCCTGATCCCAATTATGTTTCTGCTATGAACAGACCAAGTAGCCTTAGACACACTACTCTCTCTCAGCACCTCTTTTGCAATATAGGGATGCAGTAATACTGATGCACCTTACAGGGTTGTTATAAAGGTTACCGAAGCATTATAAATGCAGTGTAATGACAGGGCAAAAGTCATCATATTTCCATTTTTGTTGTTTTAAATTTGTTGCTGCCTTTAAAATGCCTGCTGGTAGGTTTTATTTTGATGTTTTACTTTTATTCCTTATTTTTATTTTATTACTTTTTTATTTTATGCGGGATTTTATGATTGTAAGCCGCCCCTAGGCTCATGCGATGGGGCGGCATAGAAGTTGTTTAAATAAATAAATATTCTTTCTTATAGGTTCAAAATTTGATCTTGCATTTTGACATGCTGCATTTTATTATTTTACTTGTTGTGAATTACCCAGAGAGCTTTGCCAATCAGAGAATATTATAAACAAATACTTTGAACAAAACAGAGCTGCATCATCAAGCCCTGCTTTGCCTTCCCATGGGACCTCTGGCTGTGCCTCTTTCCTCCGCACCTTCAGACCCAGCTTAGTAAACAGTTCACAGGAAGCTGCTTACAACAGGCTAGATCACTGCTCTTGTCTTGCCTGCTCTGACTGACAGCAGCCCTGCAATGCCCAGGCTTTCTCAGCACCTGCTACCTGATTCCTTTACTGCAGGGTTGGACCTGGGCTGATCTTTCCACAAAGCATGGGCATTCACATGCACATGCCCTGCCCCCTGCTCCTCTTTTCTGTTCCCCTTCCTCCTTTTGTCACAACACCAGCTGAAAGATATTGGCACAAGTATTAGACTAATAATAAACCCTACTGAACAGGGAACTGCAAATTAAGTATCAGGGCAATGTGTCATTCATCTATCAATTTACTCTACTTGCAGAAATGTATCATTTTGGCAAGTTCACTATTTTCATTAGCAGGGAAAATGGCTAAGGGAGGAGCAGTCTAAAGGCAAGAAGGAGCAAGAACGAGATTTAGCACGGACTACAGTGTGCTTTGTGCACCCTGCATCCCTCAACCCCATTCTCCATGAGCATGGAGGCAAAAGCTACCAGAACCCCTCCTGACTCCTCCATGGAGGGGCTCCTCACAGGCTAAAAATAAGCATGGCAAGTTCCTTCCAAGAAGCCCCCTGGGACAGCTTTTCACAGCCCAGTGCTCTCCACATGTTTTGGACTTCAGCTCCCATCCATTTCAGCCAGCATGGTCAATGGCCAGGAATGCTGGGAGCTGCAGTCTGAAACATCTGGAGAGCACCAGATTGATGAAGTCTGATCTAGAACATCAGTTAGTACTCTTACTTCCTCCCACCCTGAGGACATTCATGAATAAGCAAGGAAAAACAGGGAAGCAGGCTGCAAGCTTATAAATGTCCACAGGCAGAAAGACAATACAGAGCATATGGAAAGAATACAAAATACAAAAGTGATGCAGGCAAAGAGGCCAGCAATAGAAGCGAGCCAAGGCAGCTGAGTTTGGTACTTTTGGGACATCTGCACTGAACGATTTACAAGCAAATACAGCCAAGGAGAGTGCACAGCCCAGAATGAGTACCAGAGATACTGGAGAGTGAGAGAAAGCCCAGATCTAAAGCAAGTGTATGGCTCTTTCGGGATATGAGCAGCAGGTGCTCCAGTGGGAGAAAAACAGGCCATGTGGGGAGGGAAGGAAGGAGGCCTTTGCTAAAATGGGTCTTCTGCTGACTCACAGCCTGGGAGAAACTAGTAGGAAAAGTGAGGACTCACTGAAACAAACCTTGGACCTCTGCCAGAACCATCCCCAGAGTATAAGCCTAGAGGTCAACTAAGGATTGTTGGAGAAAAGAACAGCCACCTTTGACTGACAGGGGCAGTGGGGAATTGCTTCTTGGAATAGCAGGTTCCAGAGGCAGAGATCCAAGAAGGCCGACAGGACCAGCAGCTCAAGAGGGGAGGCCTGTTCTGGCCAAGGCCCTGCAATGGCTGCCAAACTTTATTCTGACACATTCTTGGGTAACACTGATTAGGCTCAGAAAGTTTGAGAAGGAAACACTTCACGAGGACTATAAAAGCAGTGAGAAAGGAAACAGGAGACAGACAGAAACTGGATGAAGGTTCTAATATGGCATCTTGATAATTGGTATGTCCTGCTGCTCTCTAGCAGAGCAACCTGATGCTACCTGTGGAGAGTGGCAGTGGTTTGACAGGTGGGAGCTGGTGGAAAGAAAGAGGGGCTACCTTATACCACAGTCCACCAAACATGTTGCTGGAGATACAGGGCTTGTGAGGGCTACCAAGCACTGCTGTCTTCCTCTTATCCTCATTTCCCATTCTTTACCACCCCACACCACACCCCACATTCCTGTAAACTCACTTCATAGCCAGATCAGGCAGGAAAACCCACTGGTTCTGGAAATCTTACAAACTGCCTTCCCTGACCTGGCATCCTCTAGTTGGCTTGAACTTTAACTCCCATCAATCCCAGCTGCTGTGTTCAATGTCCAGGATATTCTAAAACATCTGGTGGGCACCAGGTTGGAGAAAACTGCTCTAGCAGAGGACAGGGAGCACTTCCCTACTACCCTGTCTCTTCAGGATGCATGCGGGTCTCCAGTCCAGTCCTCACCTTGTTCTTCCTGCTGAAGGGCCAGCGTTTCCCTTTGTTCTTGCCTAGCAGGCGCGGGTCCAGTCTACCATCTAGGGTGCCACGGGGAGTGCCCAGGCTGCTATCTGATGAGGTCCTGTTGATGGGCTGACTGAAGTCTTCAAAGTCCATGTCTGCTGGCCTCTCAAAGCCTGATTTGTGTAGTTCGATAAGGACCTGCGAGTCCTATTAGGGGAAGAGCAGCCTTTTGAGTGGCCCAAGTAATGACATCCTCAATCCAGTTCGTTCCCAAAGCCACCAATATAAGCAAGTAGCAAAACCTTACATCAGCCCTAAGAAAGACCAGAGCAGAACCTGCCAGTGTCCACTCCAGATGTGCTGGGGCAACATGTAAATCTACTCTGGGGCAAAGTGATATTTAAACAGCAATCCACAAATACACCTTTGCTATAATAAAAAGTGCTACATAAAATACACAAAGGAACAACAGAAAGTAGCAAGCACTTGCCAAGCATCCTTGCATATTGCAGATGCCCACTTTGGAGTGAGTGGATTGCTTCCTGAGATAGAATCAAAGACCACTGGTAGCATGCAGGCCTTGCATGCAGAAGGTGGCAGGTTCAACCTCCACATAAAGGTTGTGGGGGCTGAGACTTGGAAGAACTGGTAACAATCATAATACACAGCACTGATATTAATAGAGTGATGGTCCTAGGTTCATGCAAGTACTATCTGCACAGTCTGTCACACAGCTATCTTGGGATGGAAAAGGGACTAGAGTCGACTTCCCTCATTACTTAAAATGCAAGCTGAGGTGGGACCTGTTACAGGCGCTGTCAGTTCTAGTGATTAGCTCCTTAGCTTTCAAGAGCGATACAGGCATGCACCCCCACCCCCAAATATCTACAATGTCGAGATGCCATGGACTAGGGCATGTCCAGCTCCGCTTCTCTGTGCCCTCCTGGCTTCTGGCGGGCCTGGGGCAAGCTCCACAGAGAAATCCAGCCTCTCCTAATGGGCAAGGCACAGAAGAAAGCCATTCCCACATATAGGGCCTGCAAATGGGTTATGTGCCCCATCTCATTTCTGTATGTTCAGATGACTGGCGGGGGTGGGGGGGGTATATAACAAACTATCCAAGCTTTCCCCAGCCTGATGTTCTCTGGAAGCGTTGGGAGTCCAATGGCCACTGGAACATTCTAGCTGGGAATGACAGAAGTGGTAGTCCAACTGTCTCAAAGGGCACTAAGTTAGGGAAAGCTGGGCTAGCTTGTTCCCACCAGAAAGCACACCATTGATTTTCAGCTTCTATACTACGTGAAGGAATATGGCAACTTATATGGCAGGCACGCACTTTCTTCTCATCCACCACGTCTGCTGCAGCCTTCATGCCTTCCAGGCACTTGCCAATGATGGGCATGACCTGCTGCTCTGTCTCTGAAAAGATGCCGTAGCTGTCCTTGAGACGCCGGGTCCGTCGCTCATCCATCTCTTGCAGCTTCTAGGGGATGCACGAAGTGAAAGGAAGAGACTGTGTTCCCATGTCATGCCAAGCAGTCCTGCATGGTTATCATGGTTTGTGATTTTTCTTCCACCTATTGGCCAGATGATCAGCCTCATACTGGGAAGTCTCCTCCCTCCTGCCACTGTCCTCCCTTCAGTCCTCCAGACAGTATCCCAGAAGACAAGATGGGGAGGGATGAGGCTCCTCTCTGTGGCAGTCACAATTGTGAGCCTAGCTTAGCTGCTGCAGCTACCAAGCAGTCTCTGCTGCACAAACAGAGCTCATGCCCTGATGTGCAGCAGAGAGGATAAGGGAGCTATGCAGGCTCCTTGCTTTCTGCTCTAGCAGGGGCCACTGGAGCAGGAGGAGAGGTGCCTGGCCCACACTCAGGCAGAAGGGGGCATATCTGCTAGACGGAGCTGCAGAAGGGAGCAGTGCCATTCAGGTAACTCCCCCACTGCATGTGTCCCTGCGAGAAGGTCCTCTACCGAGCAGTGCTGCCTCCAGCTGATGCTGTCTTGCCATCTAGCTGAGTTCCCTGCCCTGCCCCAAAGAAGATCTTTAGGGCAGAACACAGGCAGGGTGATGATGCCTCTGACAGCTGCACAAAACAGCAACTGCCAGTGGAGCTTTCTGGCTAGCCACTTGGCAAGAGTGGCAATGGTCATTTTTGCCAAGCAGCTCTCTGGTTCTGTCCTTCATACCACAATGGGTTTCCAGGTCCAGACTTTACAACAAACCATCATGGGATGGCAAAACCTTCAGCAGACCATTGTTCCTATTTGTGGTTTCTAAAGATGAAGCCTATAATGCTGAAATACTGTGACAGGGTTTGGACAGCACAACAGACCAAAAGCCATTGTTGTTTGTCAGGTCATGTGAACCCAGGCAGAGACATGTAGGAGGAGTACAAGCAATGATCCGGATTTGCTTGCAGGCACAATCCCCTCAACACCTCTTCCTTTCCCCACATTGCCCACAAAATGAAGAGGCCACCCCAATGAATCCTTCTGTTTTCCTTGGTAATATGTCAATCTAATTCATTTCAAAACCTTCTATTTCACTATCTGAGTGCCATGTATGGCCCTGAGGTATGGCCTCACTGCTCCCTCCCCACTTTTTCAGACATAAGAGAGACTAAGAGGCAGACATACACACTAAGGAGCAGTACCAACACTTACTGCTTTCCTCTAATAAACTATCTGTGCCTTCTGGACTTCCAAATGGAGCATCTTTTGCCTTCTAAAAATCCAACAGCAAAAGCTACCCCAAGGCCTCCAATCCTAGGTCCCTGCTGCTTTAGGTACATTGGAAGGAAAATGAATTCTATATATTTTTAGAGTGTAACTGGTAGGGGCAGATTTTAACAATGAAGAACCTTGTTGATTTTTAAAGTTATTTTGAATCTGCAGTGAAAATTAATTTTAAAAGCTTAAAAATACAGCCCTACCTTTTAATAAGTGGTGACTTAAATTTGTTGAACTGTTATGGTAAAAGAAGTTATACTAAGTTTGGGATAATACATAAATGCAGTCATTTAAAAAGTGGAGGAATAGATCAAATGTAAGTATTTTTAACTGATGGAGGTTCACAACAACATAGAGAGAAAAAGAACCACCACAGGGGGTTGCAGTGTGAACAAATGGCTTATGGAAAAGAAACACCAAGAGATGGAAAATTAAAACTGCTTGTACCTTTTCCCAATTCACATCAACCTTTGCCTGCAGTCCCTAAAAGCAAAGCCAAGAGGTGGTTCTGTCTGATTTCCACAAAACTTCTTTGCTGCAGTTTTACCATGAAACCTAGGGAGGTGAGAGAAGTGATGCTCTTACCTCACCTGGCATCTCTCTCCAAATGCTGGAAGTCTCCTCACCCAGTGATTAACAGCACTGGAAAAGTTTAAGAGAAACTTATTTAAGCCATCCTGAGGCTTTCGCGACAGGACGGCATATAAATATTTTAAATAAATAAATAAACTTATTGACGAAGGCAGCTGTTATGATTCCCCAGTGATCACTAATGCCAGGAGGGAGACCAACAGCCTAGCTAACAACTAAAGGCAAAGAGTATAAAAAGAGAATTCTGATATGAGAAGCCAGGAATGGGGGTCTTCTAATTCCTTAGAACTCTCAGATGAGAGATTCATAAAGTCTGCTTCACTGGGAATTCTGGTGACCTAGTGCAAGTCTATTTTAGTGCAGATTTTAGTATCCCTTGAGGTTAATGATTCCCATTTGTCCTTCTGCTATTTGGCTAATTTTTAGTGCCTCTTTTGCTTTTAGCTGAGTTTGTTGATGTATTAAAAATACAGTGCAAGAAGATTTTTTTTAATTCCAGTTTTTATATGGGTTGCTTTAAAGAGATTTAGTGTAGAAAGAGGCATTAAAATCTAAATTGGACTCTGCTTTGACACTTACATTGAAGATTTGTGGCATCTCCAGAAAGTAGAACTGGTTTTGATTATGGTTGAATTTCTGCAGATAGGATGCATATTCATTCTTGCTCTCCTCAGCCATGTGACTACGCAGGTTGGCCTGCTGCTTTGCCTGGAGATTAGCAAAACACACACACACACACCAAAAAACAAAACCAAAAAAGTTACAGTGAACTCTGAAGGAAGGAAGATCTGAGCTGAACAAGTATGACAACACTTCTGTCTTGGGTGTCTTTTGCCCCAAGGGGCCTCAATTGGTTCAATGATGGCAAAGTTGCACTAACTTGAGAGCTGGAAGAGTGACAGTGGAGACCCTGCCTCAAATGCTTGCCCAGCTAAACATTTTCAGTGACTCAGACTCATCCAGTTCTTAGTGAGGTAGCATACCTGTGTCTAGGCTGAGCTACTTCAGGAGATTTGCATGATTAAATGGTATTTCCATACAAAAAAAACCCTATTTACACATAGGAAATACTCATCATAGAGAAGGCTCTAGAATTGTTCCCGGTACAGAAAACTACTGTGCACATACAGTGGTACCTTGGCTCACAAACCTAATCCATTCCATGACTCTGATCGCAACCCAAATTGGTCGTGAGCCAAGTCAAATTTCACCATAAGGTTCAATGTAAATAAAGTTAATCGGTTCTGTAACCATTTTTTTAACCACAAAAATTTGAAACAAAGTGAAAAAGAACAACAAAAAAAGTCCGGCCCCCCCCCCCCCCGAGCACGACCACAATCGCACTCATGCAGGGAAGGCAGGCGCGATCACGATCGTCACCCGATGCGGAGTTTGTGAGCTTAGGCAATTTTTTCCTGAAATTTCTGTTTGCGACCTGATTTGGTCGCGAACTAAGGCATTCATGAGCCAAGGTACCACTGTAGTTGTGTGTGTGTGTTTGTTATTAATAGAAACGCATTCAAATCATGTGAACCTGAAGAGGTATGATTATTTAGTTCCATTTCATTCCAGCTTCAGGCCTTGTTATGGGACAAGAGGCTGCTTCAGTTGCCTTGCTGGACAATTTATGCTGGGGACTGGACAGGAGCAATATGCTTCTGTTAGTTCTGCTGGGCCTTTCAGCAGCGTACAGTACCATTGACCACTGTATACATCTTGGAAGGGGAATTTCAGAAGTTGGTGCTGGGTGATCCCTGTTGGATGACATGGCCATTGGTCTGTGATGTCCCTAGGGTTCTTTTTTATCCCCGTGTTAATATTATATACATGAAATCACTGAGGGATTATCCAGAGTTTTGGGGTTCAGTGCCACCAGTATACTGCTGACACCCAACTCTGTCTTTCCTTTCTCTCAAATTCAAGGAAGCTGTCCAGGTTCTAAACAGTGCCTGATGTCAGTAATGGACAGGATGAAGGCAAACAAACTGAAGCTTAATCCAGACAAAAAAGAGTTGTTCCTTGTCAGTTCAGAGAACAAGGATTCAACCTGTGCTGAATGGTATGAACACTGATGCTGAAGACTCAGGCTCTCAGTTTGGGTGTACTCTTGGATGCTCAGGTCTTGGCATCAGATTTTGCACAGATAAGGTGAAAATACCAATAGCATTTCTGTTTCTAGAAATGTCTGATCTGGCTAAAGAAACTTCCTGTTTGTACTACTCATACCATAACATGCTTCATGTGGAGCTGCCTTTGAAAGCTGTACAGAAACTTCAGCTGGTGCAAAATGCTGTGGCCATATTGTTGATCGGAACAGGTTACAGAGAGCACACAAGAGTTATAGCAATGTCACTGGCTACCAGCCTGTTTCTAGGCAGAATTCAAAGTGACACTTATAAATATCTTTATGTCTTGGGATCAGGCCACCTGAAAAACTGCCTTCTCCCATGTGAGCTTACCCAGTTCCTTCTGACCTACTGAAGAAGCCATTCTTTCAAGACTGTCATCATCAGAGGCATGTTTGAAGGTGAAGTGATGAGAGGGCCTTTTCAGTGGCTGCTCCCAAGTTCTGGATATCCCTCCCAAGGGAGGCTAAGTTCAGTGCTTGCAACAGCAAGCAAAGATGATACTGTTCCAGAAGGCATTTGGTCAGCAAGTAGGTCTGCTAGTTTGAATGCTATTTTTTCTCTACAATTGTGATGTTTGTATGTCAATGTGTTTTTATCTTAATTTATTTCCATTTTTGCAAGCTGCCATGAGTGCCGTTTTTTGGTAGAAAAGCAGGATGTAAGTCAAATAAATACATCAATAAATGAAGATTAGACACAGGTGCGCCAAACTTAGTGAGGTTTACCAACTCCTTTAAGAAGCTGTTGTCCAGGCAATGTACAGGGTAAGACCTACTTAGCTTCAGCAGTGTCTCAGTTCTGCATCTTATTCCTTCTAGAGAGGAAAGTACAGCTTTGTTCTTGTTTTTATAGTAGCCTGCATAAATGTAGCATCAGCCTTTCTCTTCAGAAAGGCAACATTTCCCAAGAGTCTCCTTTCTAAAGAGATGGCTCAGGTTTTACAGCTAGCTAAGAAAAGCTGTAGTTTGCTTTAAAATATTACACAAGGAAAACCAAGTAAGATTAGAAGGGCTCAGTTACTGCACATCTGCAGAAGTGATTCAGGATCTCAGTAGTTACTTCTGTTACAGAGGTACCCTTTGGGCCCTTCTAACCACCATTAGAGGTGGGAGCAGAGGCACAGTCCACTCCAAACTCTGACCTTTTCCACATCTGCCTTTGTAGCATTGATATCCTGGTCCAGTTTCTCAGCTGTCAGTAAAGCTTTCTCAGCTTCCCTGCAGTCACGTTCAAACTTGCGCTTGCTCTGTGGAGAAAAAGAATGTGAGCAAGCAAGATCCACAGCAACAAGCCTGCAAAGGGTACATAAAAGATGACACACTTGTACTCCAGAGTTAATATGTTGCATGTGTTCTTGCTGAGTTACTGCTGTGGGCATCACTCAGGCTGATCTGATGAAATCCTTTGCTTTCCTAAGTAGGCCTACCAACACAGGTAAGAATGACCACTCCATGCATAAATACTCTACTTTGCTGGCCATTCTGGGCTTCCAAATAAGAGTTAGAAAGGGGAGGCAGAATTAAAGGTTTATGTTATTGTTTGAATCATTGTTTCAAAGGCTGGATAGTCCAAACAAAGTGCTGGACTATCAATAACATTAGAAAGAGGCTCTGCCTGAAGGCTTACAATTTAATGCCATAAGCAAACATTTATTAACACAGTGGATAGAAATGCTCTTCTCAAACTGTTTGTGCACACAATTTGGAGAGGCTCCAAGAACTATCAAAGGAGCTCGTTTCAAAAGTTTCTGTGTGCATAAGCATTTAAGGGCAGAAACCTATGTATATTCAGCCAGAAAAAGAGTTCCGCAGTTCCCCATCTTCCCCAGCTACCATGGCCTAAGAGAATAAGCACAACAGATCAACTGCCTTTTTTGCTGGATTCAAGTCCAACTGATCGTATCCTAGCAATGGGAACAGACAGGCGACTTCTTTGGTTTCCACAACAAGAGCTCCACTCTAGTTAATTCATAGGTTTGGAAATCACTCTAATTCATATCATTTTTTCCCCTTTCAACTTAAGGCAGGGCTCAAATTTCAGCCTGCTAGATGCGGAATCCTAAAGGGGTTCCATCCCAACAAAAAATATGCACACAATCATTATCATATGTGAAAAAGTAAATGCAGCAGTAAGTTGCACAAAATACAGCAGGGGTAGGAGACCCTTTCCCCACAAGGAAGCAGTTTGAAAGCCACATGCCACCCCTTTCGCCGCATATATACACACACCTCTCCCTCAAGAACTGTTGGTTCAAGGTGTTTCAAGGGCCTTGAGGCAGCAGTTTCTGATGGATCCAGCTTCATGTACCTTTTTATGTTCTTCAGGGGGAGGGAGAGGGCAAGGGGGCATGGAGTCCTCTGGAGCCAGTGCTTTAAGGTGGCCTATATGCCTTGAAAAGGTGACTCCTAATTTAAGGAAGAGGGTCTGCAGGAGACTGGATGGGGAGCCCTCATGGGCTTGTTTCCCAGCCTTGTAAAATGGAGGAAGGTGCACTGCATGACCAAAGTCTCAAAGCCAGCAACGGGATTCAAAATGTGCAATGATGTGCACAATTTAAATGAACATGTATATGATCAGTGTATGTAGATTCTTATTTTATGGAATCCTGCTGTTTGCAAGGGTAGCCTTTTTTCTAGGTACATATCAAATATGTGCACACACCTTCTAAGCGTTCTTGAAAAAAATTTAACAGTGCCAATGAGCTCTGCCATTCTCTGGTCAAGGCTTCAGTGTCAGTTTTCCCCAACTTTTCTCTGCAATATTCTCTTAGAACTTTTCATGCAACAATAATAAAGTGATAGAGCACAGCTGAATCCCAAATACTGGGTTGATTTTCTCTCTGGAGAGATTTTGCTTCTATTACTGGGATTTCTGTTCACAACAACAGGAGGCCAAAGCTACATTTTTAAGGATGCTGAACAAAAGCCAAGAGGCTCTTGGAGACTTTCAAATGCCTTACATTTGGGGTTCTATTGGCAGTTGTCCATGGAACCAATCAGAGGGGAGGTAATCTTGGTTTTAGTCCTAGGCAGGGATGCTCAGGACACAGTAATGTTGCTGAGCCATTAGATAACAGTTACCACGCCAAAGAGGTCAGACACAGTTGCATTTGATATCAAAAGAGAAATCTTCTCAAAAATGAGGGAACTGGTAAAGAAAAAGCTGAAGAGGGGAATCAAGAAGTTTAAATCACTACAAAGCACTTGGAGAATACTCAAAAACACTATAATAAAGGTACAGATAATTTGCATACCACAAGTGAGAAAAGGTCACACAAAATCCAGGAAATCACCAGCATGGTTAATGTGTTACATCAAGGAAGAACGTTTCCTTCGAAAACTGGAAGTCTTGCCCAAATGAAAATAACAGACGGGACCACAGCCTTGCACAAGGGAGATGCAAGCAGACCAGTGGAGAAGCCAAGCAAGAGTTTGAGGAGCACATCGCTAACAATATCAAGGATGACAATATAACTTTCTCTAAATATATCAAAAGAAAGAAAGTGGCTAGGTAAGCAGCTAGGCCATTGAATTTTAATGCAATTAAAGGAGCACTAAGGGGGGGACAAGAAGATTGCAGAGCAGCTGAATGAATTCTTTTCAATCTTCACAGCAGATGATGACCAGATACCTGTCCCTGAGCTTACGTATTCCGAAAGGCCGTCCAAGGAATTAGGGCAGATAGTAGTGACACAAGATGAGAATTCCCAACCTTACTGACACACTGAAGGTCACCAAATCATCCAGTCCAGATGGTATCCATCCTAGAACTCAAGCATGAAATCGCTAGCCTTCTTGCCAAAATGTCCTTAAACATGTCCCTAAAATTTGCCCTTGTACCACAGAATTAGAGAATGGCTAATGTAACACCACCAGGGGGATCCAGGAAATTACAGGCCTTAGCTTAACATTTGTTCTGGGTAAACTGCTTGAAAGCATTACTAAAGATAGACTCAATAAGCACATAGAGGGACCAGCCCTGCTTAAAAAAACTCAACTTCTGTAAGGGGAAGTCTTGTCTCACTAACCTATTGGAGTTCTTTGAGAGTGTCAATAAGCATGTACACGGGGTGATGCAGTAGACCTTGCTTCCTTGGACTTCCAAAATGTTTTTGACCAAGTCCCTCATCAAAGTAAGCTGTCATGGAATAAAAAAGGCGGGGGGTCCTCTTAGGGATCACTAACTGCTTAAAGAACAGAAGACAGAGTGGGAATAAACAGCAATTTCTCCCAAAGGAGAGATGCCACCAGTGGTATCCCACAGGGTTCTGTATTAGGACGAATGCTTTTCAACCTATTCACAAATGATCTGGAATGAGGAATAAGTAGTGAAATGGCCAAGTTTCCTGAGGACACTAAACTCTTTTGTGAGGTTAAAACCAAAAGGGATTGTGAGGAGCTCCAAAGGGATCTCTCCATGCTGGGAGAATGGGGAATAAAATGGTAAATGCAGCTCAATACAAACAAGTGTAGAGTAACGCACACTGGGGCTAAAAATCCTAACTTCAAGTATACACTGATGGGATCCTGCACTAACAGTGGCTGAGCAAGAACGGGACCCTGGGGTAGTGGTGGGCGGCTCAGTGCAAGTGCCGGCTCAGTGCTCAGCTGCTGTGAAGAGCTACGCGTGGGCATAATTGCCTAGCGCAACTGCCCTTGCAATACTGTGCTCAGTTCTGGTCACCTCACCTGAAAAAAGACACTATTGAGTTGGAAATAGTGCAGAGAAGCACAACCAAAGTGATCAGGGGGCTGGAGCAGCTCCTTAGGACAACTGGGGCTGTCCAGCTTAGAAAAAAGCTGAGTAAGGGGAGTCATGACAGAGGTCCTGCAACAGCAGGGGGTTGGACCCGATGGCCTTCATGGCCCCTTCCAATTCTACTATTCTATGATTCTAGGTGTTTAAAATAATGCATGCCGTGGAGAAAGTAGAGATGGAGACATTTTTCTCCCTTTCCCATAACATTCAAACCTGGGGCATCCCATGAAGCTGATTGATGAGAAGTTTGGGAAAGATAAAAGGAAGTACTTTTTCACACAGAATATAGTTAAACTATGGAATCTGTTGCCATGGGAAGTGATGATGACCATCAACTTGGATGGCTTTAAAAGGCTATTGGAGAGATTCATGAGGGAGGAGACTATCTGCAGCTATTAGCCTTGCAGGCTATGTGGCGCTTCCTTTACCAGAGGTGGCATGCCTGCATACAATAGTCGCTGTGGAGCTCGGACAGGAGAAGGTCTTGCACCCATCCAGTTGAGGGATCCTATGAGAAGCTCATGTTCTTTTCTCTCACTTGAAATGTATTGTCCACTGTCCATCAATCTGAAATTTATTTTCAAGACTGGAAAAATCATCTGAATTTTTAAACTTCTTAATATTTGCCTGATGTTTCCATCCCCCAGTGTTTGGAAAATTCCAAAGGAAACATGACTCCTCAGCTGTGTTCTTGCTCTGAAAATTTAGCCAAATTGTTAAAAGAAGCTTTAGGTCTTCCAAGTATATGGCTCTCACACTCAACAAACAACATATAGCATTAGGATGATTTAGGAAACAACAAAGGAGAACTCACATTTTCAAGTTGCTTAAAGGAGTTTTCCAGCTGCTGCTGAGCCCTTCGGCCTTCTTGCAAGTGCTAGAAAGAGGAGGAGAGGTCAAGACAAAGCAAGCTTTCCTTAGAAATGTCCCAGAACTCCTGTCAGAACCCCAAACAGTGCAGACCTCCACCAAATATTTTCAAACCATGTGATGACAGAAGTACTTGAACAGAGAAAAAGCTACTTGTTGCAACCCCAGGGATCAATATGAAAGAGTTCTCTAGCACTCACCTGCTAGTTGGCTTCCTTTATATCAAAGCTGACTTGGCCTTAATATAGGCCCTAACACAACCATCTAATTTTCCTCATATTATCTATGGATACCTTTCTCAGAACACTGAAACTCCAAGAATGTCTACTGAAGAAAAACACTCACAACAGTTATCTTACAGTTGGATTCAGGCCTCTGTTTTTTTTAGAATAAGAGCTCTTTCAGGAGAAGTCTCAAATTAAAATACCTGATGTCACTTAATGTATACCTGTACTGATACTACAGTAATACCTATAAAATAAAGTGCCTTTATCCACTGGATGTACTGTACATGTAACCTCCTCTGTACGTTAATTTTGAAAAGCTGTATATAAATACTACAATGGGAAAAACTACATTAAAAAGTTTACTTTTGAAGTAAAGGGCAGAAGAGATAAGAAATTCCATTTCCAAACCCTGAATCAGAACGTTCTCTCTTCTGCCCCAAATTCATCCAATTTTAACTTTCTCCTAGGTAGCCAAGCCCTCAGTAATTCATAAGACAACATTGCTAAGGGAGAATACAGCAATAAAAAGGTAGTTTCTGCGAAGGGCCAGGAAGAAGAAGGTCCATTATCAGTTTTTGTGAAAGGCCATTATCAGTTCCAACAACCCATCAGGGAAAAAAAATCTCAGTAATTTTCTGGGTAGCTCCTGGAATTCCTGTCACACTGATAATGACTATTTGGTGGCACAGCTAGACTCCCCAATTAAGGGGAATCATCTCAGTTTGAATTCACTGAAGGACAAAATGACTTTGTACAATGATGCACAATAAAATCAGACTGAGTGTCAAACCGCACAAGATCTTGTGAGATCTGTGACCTTTCTCAAAAAATGTCTGATGCATATTACCTCCAGTATCATGGGCATTATGTCTCTTAACACCAGTTGCTAGGAAAAATGAGTGGGAGGGTACTGTTATGCTCATGCCCCTTGTGGACTTTTCAGAGGCATCCTGGCTGACCAATCCTTGCATCCTATGAGAAACAGGATGCTAGATTAGATAGGGCTTTTGTCTGAACCAGTCCAATCCCTTCTATGTCCTTAATTGGAATCAGTTCACTAGGTCGGAGTAGTTTACCAATTTTCTCTCCTGCTTCAGCTCCTGTGAGTACTTGGCAAGCTCCACACAGATCCGCGTCAGAAGGTTCTCAGCTACTATCTCCCGCTGCCCTGCAAAGTCATTCAGCTCTTTCACCACCTGAAGGAAGGCCTGGTATTGGCAGAACCTGCATGGGTGATTAAAGGTAGGAAGTTATGGCTGACAGTCAGTCAGAAAAAATTAGGGCCACCCAATGCATTGCTAACATTGACACACCACCAGAAGTACTAGCTGTTAACTAGAAAAATGAGGCAACAACACCTATTACTCAGTGAGATACCTAGTAGAGTTACCTTACCAAGAGTGATATTTTATCCCCTATAGCAGGGGATATATTACCCCCAAAAACTGGCCTTTGGGAGGGGATCCTGTTCTCTGGAGGTTCCCAGAAGGCCCTGCCCCGCTTCCTCCCAGCCACTGACTATTGGGTGGTTTCTTGGCTTGTGTATTTTTCCCTATTCTAAAAGGCTGAAATGCCTCTCCTAAGGCTTAACAGTTGGCAGTAAGAACATCTCTTCTTGCCACGTCTTTTTACTGTATTTTAAGCAATTTTAAATTAATCCTAAATACTTTTAACATTGGTGTGTTATGCTATTTGTATTGTATTTTATTGTTTTGTTTTACAAATTGCTGTAAATTGCCCAGAGAACTTAGGCTGTGGGGCAGTATAGAAATGAAATAAATAACAATAATAATTTTAAAAACTTAAACGTACTGAAATTTTTGGTGTGAATTTCTGCTCCCATTTCTGCCTACCACTGAAATGAGACAAAATCTTCTTCAAAATGGAGTATGGCCTTGGACTGAAAATGATTCAACAGCCCTCTCCTGCAGTCACTAAAGCCTGGTCCTTCAGCAATTGTACCACCATGCTTGGCCATCACATATTTTGAACATGATCTGCATAACTGTGCAGATATTTTCCTCCAGAACATGTAAATTTGCATTTATTGTGCTGAGTTAATTATATATTTAAATGGCACATGTTTTGAGAACTGTTTTCTTGCTGTATGATTCAACATTTGAATAGTCCTTGACTGAAACAAATTCATTCAGCATTTGAGTTTTAGTGTTTAATTATTTATTAAAAAGGGGGTTACAAATCAGACTCTTAAGGCTTAAAGCCTACAGAAATGTATTCAATTTTAATGCAGTCAAGAAACAGTGTTTGGTCTATAGCCTTCCCTTTCATACTCACTGATATCAAATCTTTCATTATCAAACTCAGCCATAAATTACACAATTCTCATTGTGAAAATGTTTGCTCTCTGTTAGAGTGCTGGAGGCTGACTAACCTCCAAGGGTCTAAGGCTCAGAGGAACAATTAGCTCCCATCAAAAGGCTGTTATAAGCATTTCTTTGCAAATGTATAATTCCAGACTCCAAGCACTTACGGCCAGGAGGATAGCTGGAGGTGCATGGTGAGCCCACTTAGATATGGTGTTACTTGTTTCTGGATACATTTATTAAATTTAGCACGTGATAGATGACAGAGTGATAGAGCGCTATCAAGATTTACTGCTGATCTTGCTCTAAAAGTACAAGACAGGCAACATCTCATTCTTTTTCACAACCACCTTGCAACAACAGGCATCATTACCCTTATTTTAGAGACAGAAAACCTAAGTCATGTCACATCAACTTCATTCATTCATTCATTCATTCATTTGTTCAACTTGCATTCCACAGTTAATTAGTCCCAAGGATTCCTAAATAGATTACAAAGAATGTTCATGAATCAGAGTCCACTTTGCTATGTACATGAAGTGGTCACCATTACCAACAGGGATATATGCCTATCTTGAGTAGTGAGAGAAGAAAATATTCTACAAAGTGGGTATGAAAAATCAAACAATGTAAGACATAGCACTTGAAGTGCACAATGCAGAACATGAAGGATTACAAACTAAAAACACTATAGGATCTTCAGTTGTGGGAATGAGAATTTGAAATCATTTCAAAATAAGAAAAAATAGAAAATAATTTATGCAATGGCTTTGGTTTAATTTTTTTAGGAGACTGATCTAAAAAAAACCTTAATCAGTAGGCTCTTCCACTGCATTATTTAATCTCTGCCTTGATAAAAATGAATAAAAATTGTAATGTGAAAAAACAAACAAACAAAATTGCAGAGATCATATGGAGCTGCACACAGACTTCCTATTAATTTAGAGATCACAGTGTTTGCTGTAGATAAGATGCAGGACAACTGGTAAGTTATAAGACTCCAGTCCTCCATGGCAGCTGCCAATTTTGCCCTCAAAACCCTCTAGAAAAACACTGCACCGAGAACGTGGAGGAAGGAAAATGGTGGTTGTGCCATTGAGAATGGAGTTCAAATGCTACTTTTGCCTGTGACAATAAGCAAAATAAAGGGTCCATTGTTGTTGTTGCTGTGTCAAAAAAGAAAAAAGTTCTCCTTACCACTGCTGGAAGTAAGCCCTCCTCTTTTCAGGAACTCAAATTCTCTCCATAATAGTACCCAAATGATATTTTTCAGCTATTTTTGTTTCATCCCTAGTCTGAACAGATGGTGACTAACCAAGAAAGGGAATCATGCTGGATAAATCAAATAAAATGTCAACTCAGGCTGCAGCAACAGTGCAAAAAAGGCAAATTGCATGCTCTGGATCATTAGGAAGGTACTGTAAAGAAGATAGCTACTACTCTAATGCCTTACTTTATTAAAAAATATGTATGGCATGGAGAAAATTGCTCAAGAAATTCTCCTGAAAATGCTTTCTCTTCTATACTATTAACAGTCATCCAATGACTGAATTGACTTCCAAAGACAGTACTTTACATAATTTATTAACAGAAAGCACTGCAACAAAATGATTCCATGGACACCAACGCAGATGACCCCATTCACTGGTATGCTATTTTAGAATATGGGATGCAGCCAATATGTTCAAATTCACAGGAAAGTGAAGAACATCTTACTGGTAAGTATTTTGTTTCATACAGAGACGGCCCAGGTTTGCTTTATTTTAGAATGATATATTCCAACCTTTTTCCATAACAATGTCAGACTGTGTGCTTGTTTACTGTGATTTTATGACAGCTTTGGTATGCTATTTTAGATTTTATGGATGGTTTTCTATCTTTCATGGGTGCAGTTTCAAAATCATTCAACTGCTATACTTAGCTTACTTCTCTATCATAATTTTGTATATAAAACAAAGCAACATACACAAAAGAGTGCAATATACAAGTACCATTGATGATATTCAAGTACTTCCCGACAGTTAGGACCCCGGGGATATGGAATGGGCTTCCACGGGAGGTGGTTGAGGCCCCATTGGTGAGGGTGTTCGAGGATAGGCTAGACATGCACATGGTGGGCATGTCGTGAGTGGAGCTGGGAGTCAGACTAGATGGCCCAGGGGACCCCTTCTGACTCACTCTGTTTGTTTTCCATGAAACATTCTTCCAGACAAGCAGCCATTGGTGGCAAATACACACTGTAAGATCAGCAGTGAAAGTATACTCCTGAAGAACTGGTTACTTTTTTGTAGCAAGCTGGCCATTTCCAGGATTTGAAGCCTGGAAACTGCTCAAGACACTGAGCCATCCTAAAGGTTTCCCAGTATGATTCAAGAGACAAACCTGTATGATGCAAACCAAGCAATACTTACTTTGATTCTGGGTCTTCTCGCGCAGTCCTCTTGGGAAGATTCTTTTTTACAAGGTTTCTGCCAATGAGCAAGACAGAGAAAAATAAATGAGCATTCATTGAATTTGAAGTAGAGCATCAAATGAAACCTTCGCCATGTGATGAAACTTTTGTTGCTACCTTGCAATGTGGGTGGAAAATTTTCCAGTGCTACATTTTTCCATGGAAATTTTTCTATACCACATATATCCGTATTTATCCATAGTCATCAAGGCTGTTGTGCTGAGACCAACTATGTTAGATGGGTTAAATATAGGATATAAATTTAAGATGTAAGTTATTCTATGCCAGTGCTCTGTTGCCCATGGGGGGATTGAAAAATAAGGCATGACAATCCCTTCCTGTCCTGGAGGGACAGTTGGCTCCTGGCTGTGTCAGGACCAGCCTTATACATGGTATATTTGCCCACTTGAGTATTTGCCCTTTTCAACAAAAAAATAGAGGGAAATTGAAACCAGTGATTACTGCTTGTTTCACTTTTCTCTGAAAAGCGCTTCTTTTTTTCTCAAGCTAAAGATGTCTGAAGTGCTTGCATAAGTTTTGTTAGTTATCTACTGTTTGTGGTTACTATATATACCAGCATATAGGACAACCCTTGAAATCAGAAATGTGAGGCAAAAACTGGGGGTAGACTTATACCCCAGGTGAAAATATTTCATCATATTCTTCATTAAAAAGGGAAAGATAATAAAGACCATTGTACTTACAAGCTCCTTTTTATTAACAGTATTAAAAAAAACTTCTCACCGATGCCAGGGAAGCTTGTCTGGTGCCTGCCCCACCCTCGCACGGCTGTCCGTACAGAGACACAGTGCTGCCTACATGGGCCTCCTCCCCCCTCCCCCCATGGCCATTCATGGCGTTGGCACTGGCCATCCTCCCTGACAGACCACAGCCAGCCCCCCCGTGGGCTGTCACTGGCCTCCAACTTTAAAAAACCTTGTTGAGTGAAATTGGAAAAAGAACATGACTATTAGCTAGCATACAGTAATGTGACATTAAGAGAATCCAGAAGCTTCTGCCTGACAAATATCCATATAGAAGAGCCCCCTGAAACAGAAAAAAGAAAGGAAAAACTGGAGGTCATCTTTTACACCTTACATATGAGAAACACCAGAAAAGCAGGCCAAAATATCAACCTCATCTTATACACTGGTAAAAATGGTACTTTGAATGAAGTCACAATGCAAAAACACAATAACAGCTTCTTGTGAAAGGAACTGGAAGCTCAGTCAAGACAAAACAGAAGCATAGACTAAGAAGCACACTGGTAAGTTTGTTTCTATTTCGCAAAATCTCTTGCTTCTGGACAATCAACTATAAATACAAGCAGTAAAGACAAAATATGGTAAGTTGCATGCATCCAAAGACTCGCATCCATCCTTTAAGGAATAGAATATTCAGCTAGTTGTTCTGAATCAGATTTTTCTGAACTTGAAATGGAATCAAGAAGCAATCCAGAGAGTGAATGAAGCTGAAGGTGCTACAGTTATGTTAGTTAAAAAAAAAAAATCAACCATTGATGTAAAATATATCAGATACACCTCTTTTGGGGTATACATCCTAAAACTAATGTGTTCTTTCAAGTGCAAACATTTTTATTAAACATAAACAAACATCTTAGGGAGGTATATGCTACTGCCTTTATATTTTTACAAATATGCCAATAAAAATAATTTTTAATTGCATTTATATACCACCCCAACAGCCCCCAGGGCTCTCTGGGCAGTTTACAAACATTAAGGCCCCATATACAAACAATAAAGTACCCAAATAAAACATGAAATGCCAAAAACAATAATAATAATATTAAGTTTGTTTTTCTGGGAGTCAGAGAACGTTCTGAAGGAACAGAGATGCAGGCTAGAGCTATGCCTAGATCATGTGCAGAGGAAGGGGGAAGAACCTCTACCAAAAAGCTCTACTTAGCTCCAGAATGTTCCAAATACTGTTCTGAACTGGCATATTAAACTATATGTGCAAGTTAGAGAGGCCATGAAGAATTACCAGATGCTAAAGAAAGGACCCCCTCTTCATGAATCTTCACTGGAGAAGGAAAAGGCAACCCACTCCAGTACCCTTGCCATGAAAACCACATGGACAGTACCAAAAGGCAAAAAGATATGATGCCAGAAGATGAGCTCCTCAGGTCGGAAGGTGTCCAATGTGCTCCTGGGGAAGAGCAGAGGGCTAGTACTAGTAGTGACTGTGTCAAAGCTGAAATGACACTCAGTTGTGGATGTATCTGGTGGTGAAAGGAGAGTCTGATGCTGTAAAGATCTATACTCCATAGGAACCTGGAATGTAAGATCCATGAATAAAGGTAAGCTGGACGTGGTCAAACATGAGGTGTCAAGACTGAACATCGACATCTTAGGAATCAGTGAACTAAAATGGACAGGAATGGGTGAATTTAATTCAGATGACCATCAGGTATACTACTGTGGGCAAGAATCCCTCAGAAGAAATGGAGCAGCCTTCATAGTTAATAAAAGAGTAGGAAAAGCAGTACTGGGATACAATCTCCAAAATGACAGAATGATCTCAGTTCAAATCCGAGGCAAACCATTCAGCATCACAGTAGTCCAAGTCTATGTCCCAACCACTGATGCTGAAGAGGCTGAAGTTGACCGGTTCTATGAAGGCCTACAACACCTTCTAGAATTTACACCAAAAAATGATGTCCTTATCATCATGGGGGATTGGAATGCTAAAGTAGGAAGCCAAAAGATAACCGGAGTAACAGGCAAGTTTGGCCTTGGAGTACAAAATGAAGCAGGGCACAGGCTGGTAGAATTTTGTTAAGAGAACACGCTGGTCATAGCAAACACTCTTTTCCAACAACCCAAGAGACGACTCTACACATGGACATCACCAGACGGTCAACACAGAAATCAGACTGACTATGTGCTCTGCAGCCAAAGATGGAGAAGCTCTATACAGTCAGTAAAAACTAGACCAGGAGCTGACTGTGGCTCAGATCATGAGATTCTCGTTACAAAATTTAGGATTAAATTGGAGAAAGTAGGGAAAAGCAACAGGCCACTCAGGTGTGGTACAGTGGTTAAAAGCGTGGGACTGGGACTCAGGCGATCCAGGTTCTAGTCCCCGCTCAGCCGTGGAGCCAACTGGGTGACTTTAGGCCAGTCATAGACTCTCAGCCCAACCTACCTCACGGGGTTGTTGTTGTGGGGATAAGATGGAGAAGGAGAATGATGTAAGCTGCCTTGAGCCCTTTGTAGGAAAAGGCAGGATATAAATAGAAAAATAAATAAATAAATAAATCATATCCCTGATGAATATACAGTAGAAGTGACAAACAGATTTAAGGAATTAGATCTGATAGACAGAGTGCCTGAAGAGCTATGGACGGAGGTTCAAAACATCGTACAAGAGGTAGCAACTAAAACCATCTCAAAGAAAAAGAAATGCAAGAAAGCAAAATGTCAAAATGTCTGAGGAAGCTTTACAAATATCTGAGGAAAGAAGGGAAGCGAAAGGCAAGGGAGAAACAGAAAGATACACCCAATTTCCCTATTTGCCCTCCCGCCCCCTGAGATCGGCAACAGAAGCCTTCCTCCAGGAACCCTTTGTGAAAGACGTTAGGAGACAGAGTACCCGGAGGAGGGCCTTCTCTGCAGTTGTGCACCGTCTATGGAATGCACTCCCCAGAGAGGTCTGCCTGGCGCCGTCATTATATGTTTTTTGGTACCAGGTTAAGACCTTTTTATTTAATCAATATTTAATAAGTTTTAATATTGAATTTTATTATTGTATTTTATTAATTGCAGCCAGAGTGGGTTGTCAATTTATTTATGCTGCTATCCGTCCAGAGACGTTAGTAATTGGACGGCATACAAATTTTATAAATAAATAAATTGAATGCAGAATTCCAGAAAATAGCTAGAAGACATAAGAAGGCCTTCTTAAATGAACAGTGTAAAGAAATAGAAGAAAACAATAGAAAAGGAAGGACCAGAGATCTCTTCAAGAAAATTGGAGATATGAAGGGAACGTTTCATGTGAAGATGGGCATGATAATGGACCAAAATGGCAGGGACCTAACAGAGGCAGGGGAGATTAAAAACAGGTGGCAAGATTACACAGAAGAACTATACAAGAAAGAGCTTAACGTCCCTGATAACCATGAGGGGGTGGTCACTGACCTCGAGCCAGACATCCTGGAATGTGAAGTCAAATGGGCCTTAGGAAGTCTGAGCAACAACAAAGCTAGTAGAGAATACAGTATTCCAGTCGAGCTATTCAAAATCCTAAAAGATGATGCAGTTAAAGTGCTACACTCAATATGCCAGCAAATTTGGAAAACTCAACAGTGGCCACAGGATTGGAAAAGGTCAGTTTACATCCCAGTTCAAAAGAAGGGCAATGCCAAAGAATGTTCAAACTACCGCACCATTGCACTCATTTCACATGCGAGCAGAGTTATACTCAAAATCCTACAAGCTAGGCTCCAGTAGTATGTGGACCGAGAACTACCAAAAGTACAGGCAGGGTTTTGAAGAGGCAGAGGAACTAGAGCTCAAATTGCCAACATACGCTTGATCATGGAGAAAGCTAGGGAGTTCCAGAGAAACATCTACTTCTGCTTCATTGACTATGCTAAAGCCTTTGATTGTGTGGATCACAACAAATTGTGGCAAGTTCTTAAAGAGATGGGAGTACCAGACCATCTTAAATGCCTCTTGAGAAACCTATATGCAGGTCAAGAAGCAGCAGTGAGAACTGAACACGGAACCACTGATTGATTCAAAATTGAGAAAGGCTGTATACTGTCGCCCTGCCTATTTAACTTATATGCAGAGCACATCATGAGAAAGGTGGGCCTAGATGAATCACCAGTTGAAATTAAGATTGCTGGGAGAAATATCGACAACCTCAGATATGCAGATGATACCACTCTAATGGCAGAAAGTGAAGAGGAACTAAAGAGTCTCTTGATGGGGGTAAAAGAGGAGAGTGCAAAAGTTGGCTTGAAACTCAACATGAAGAAAACTAAGATCATGGCATCCAGTCCCTCACTTCCCGGCAAATAGATGGGGAAGAAATGGAGGTAGTGACAGATTTTATTTTCCTGGGATCCAAGATCACTGCAGACGAGGACTGCAGCCAAGAAATTAAAAGACGCCTGCTCCTTGGGAAGAAAGCTATGGCAAATCTAAAAAGCAGAGACATCAACCTGCCAAGAAAAGTGCATATAAGTCAAGGCTATGGTTTTCCCAGTTGTAATGTATGGCTGTGAATGCAGGACCATAAGGAAGGCTGAGCGCCGAAGAATTGAGGCCATTGAATTGTGGTGCTGGAGGAGACTCCTGCGAGTCCCTTGGACTGCAAGGAGATCAAACCAGTCAGTCCTAGAGGAGATCAACCCTGACTGCTCTTTAGAAGGCCAGATACTGAAGATGAAACTCAAAATACTTTGGCCACCTAATGAGAAGGAAGGGCTCACTGGAGAGAAGACCCTAATGCTGGGAACAATTGACTGCGAAAGAAGAAGGGGCCGGCAGTGAATGAGGTGGCTAGATGGAGTCACTGAAGCAGTTGGCGTGAGCGTAAGTAGACTCCGAGGGGATAGCGGAGGACAGGAAGGCCTGGAGGAATGTTGTCCATGGGGTTGCAATGGGTCAGATGTGACTTCGCAACTAGCAACAACAACAAAAAGAAAGGACCAGGTGCATGGTACCTTCTATCAATGATAGCAGTGAAACAAATATAAAGAATCACGTAAAAGGACAAAGAAAAAACAAAGAAAAGCCCTCACAAACACAAAGCTGGTACACACAATATTTGCATCTCAGAAATTCAGGGAAGGGGCAAAACAAAACTATATGAAGTCATCCTGGGAAGAAGAAATCTCTTGCCCTTACAAACAGGGCCTGACATTTTTGCCATCCTGGATCGGACATGACTTTGCAACTAGCAACAACAACAACAAGTCCTCAGAGACTTCTTGTCCCATGGCTTACACAGACTTTTTGTCTTCCTGTCACCTGCTCAATCAAGTTTCTGAAATAAACAGCCCTACAAAACCATTTATCCAGGCAAATGTGAGAAGCAACAGTTCCCCTTTCAACTTTGAAAATATCTAACATCAGTCTCCAGCTTATGTAGATGTTCGTAACATAGCCTATCCAAGAAAAGCAAGACAGCATTTGAAACAGCCAGAAGAGTACAGGTTTCAATCAATCCCAAGTCTAACAAATAGTATATAAAAGAATAAGGAGATTCCAGGCAGAGTCATTGACTTTCTGAGTACGTAACTGAGCTCGACTTCTCTCTTCCCAGGCATTTGTGCATGACAAATATATGTTTGTTATGTTTCACCCAAGAAACCTGGGGAATGGCACAACTGCAGTTCCTTGTGAGGAAATTATGACTGAGAGACCAATTTATGCTTGCAGTGTTACCACATCCATGGTCTCATGGGAATCTACGCATAATGCTCATTTTCTATTTGCACCAACAAATTAATTTCTATCCTTTCAGATATCAAATAAGCAGTAAGCTTGCACTGTAGCCAGACAAACATCCAATGCCATTATAATAATTCCAGAAAAAGAACAACAGGAGAAAGGCAATTGCCGTGCATACGCGTTTAGTTCTTTGATGGGCTTATGGAGTTAGAATGGGAGGTTGATGTGCAAAGAAATACAGCTTTAGGTGGAAAGTTGGACTGCATTTTTTTAGTTCTTTGCAACTCTAGGACTTAAGACAAGAGAGAATGTTTTAAAAGGCTAGGGCCAGGTAAATAATCCATGGATCTTTCCAGTGAGTCAAAAATGGAAAGAACATCACAGGTGGAAAGAGAAATCAAAGTAAACTGCTGTGGAGCAAGCCGAGTTATCTGCAGTTCTAGGAGCAAAACTAGCTATATGGCTTTGACCTAGATCAACCTAGCAGAAATAGCACTAAAGAATTCTAGAAGCTGAGCAGGTGAAGCGGTGGGAGGACAGCAGAGACCTCAGAGGCATCTATTCCCAGTACTGAGTAGCCTTTCACTTCCCAATAAAGAGCAGTTTTCAGCCAACAGAAGGATTGTGGGGGAGGAATAGGAGTCTCAGCTGAAGAACTCAGCGAAAGGACAGAAGGACTTGAATAGGTTGTAGGAATGCCACCGTTTCTTGACTTTTCTTGGACTTCCTGAAAAGGGCCTCTCTCAGGACATAGCCTCTGGATTCCCTACAGAGACTCCTGGAACAAACGATATCAAACCGTGTGGGGAGACCAGGATCACTAACTGCCAGCTGCAGCTGCACTTGTACCACCACCTGCATACCTACCTCAGCTGCTTTGCATATGCCTGCTCAATTTCTATCCGCTCCTTCACAAACTTGACGTATTTGTCCACCAGGTCCAGGCCCCACTGAGTGTGGCGCTCGATTGTGTCAAATTGATCCTGAAGTGGGAGAAGGGAAAAGCATTATCAGAGCTAAAAGTGACAATTCCTATATTTGGCCCAAGTGAGTGACACAGAGAAGCCTATCTCTCTCTCAGACTGTAAACCCATATCTGCCTTGGAGGGCCAATACAGAGCTTAGAGGGCCCTAGGGGGCCTAGAACCAATATAGAGGGACTTAAGGTCAAGATAGCAGAATGTCAGTTTAATACATAAATAAATACTGGACCACTTCGGGCTGCAAGTGAGGGCTCACATAATTTCCTGCACAGAGAAAACAAGCATGTTTTAAATCTGCTATAGTATTTTAATTCTTTGCACTGCTGCTAGGTTTCATTTCAGTATTTATGTTTATTTTATACTGTAGTTTTAAACTTTTACATTATACTGTGTTGCATTTTATAATTTTAATTGCTGTGAACTGTTTACAGAGCCTTGGCTACTAGGCAATATTTAAAAAGCCACAATTTTTTTAAAGTATTAAGAAGTATTTTCTTTAACATGCTATTTTTCTCTATAAAAGGGATTTTTTCATACAGGAAGAACAAGTCAATAATGGGGGTTCCCATCCACAGTCTGAAGTGGTACAGCCCAGACACTTGCTTGCCTACTCAACAAGAATTAGCCTGTCAGTGCAGTGTGGAGCAGGCGTGTACTGGGGCTTGCACGTTCCACAGCAAAACGGGCAGTAAGACTTAGCTAGAGAATCATGATCTATCTTTTTAGTTCAGTGCCTGCACTTCTTCAAGTAGACTGACATGGTCCTGAGCAGATGCATACAGGGTTTGCCAGTCATGTAGTTCTGTCCCAGAAACCTGCATGAGTGCACTCATACTGCTTCATTTAAACTTTGAACTTTAGCATATAACAGTTGGGCTTCTGGAGGTGGAAAGAGTTCGCTTTCCTCAACATACAAGGCAAAATCTACTGGGCAGCTCTCCTGCACAGGACCCTCTGAAGTGAATGAAGTTGAGCAACCAGAGCACCTCTTTCTACAGCTGTCCTGGACTATGAAGAGGAAGGCAGAGTGCGAGCATCTGCCTGCCTTCTCAACATGCAACCCACACCACAATTCAAATCAGTTCTATTTCAGATATGAAATTTTCCTGGAGTCTGTGCTTCATCATGAATGACAGACTGGTATCTTTTGTGAACTATGCTTTTCAAAAGCAGCTTTCAGAGCAGCCAGTTCTACACAGGGCCATGTCCTTTCACTTCCCAGTTTATGTGGAGGAAGCAGCACTGGACACATTACTCAGACACAAGCTACAGCACTGAGACTGGTGCTGTGCATATGAAGGGAGTCTGCCTTCTGGAGTAGAATAAAAGGGAAATGTCTCCTTCCCACAACCATTTTACAAGCTACTATCGGCTAGTAGCCTGCAGCTACTTAATTTAAGAAGGTCATGTGTATGGTTAAAGAGGTCTGGAAAAGGCTCCTAGTGCTATCTGGCCTTTTAAAATATGCACATTGCATTAAAACCTGCACAGACACCACAAACGGGTTTCATGCACAAAACTTAGCAAGAGCTACAACACTCTTGCGGAAAGTATATGACTTGCATATTCTTGTTAAATAGTTATCAGAGGCATGTGTGTGTTCACCTCCACTATCCTCTACCATTGGGCAAACCACAGATTTCTTTCATGTCAGTCACCTTGGATTCAACTGATGAAAGAATACTTTGAACAGGAATTGCTGGTTTCCCAAAGCAATTAGCAAGCCTCATTGACTGCTTTTACTTCTGCCAAATAACTCCTCTCTTGTAATTCCACCAAAGGTTTCCACAAAGGTTTCATCAGAAGAGCAAGCTGCTACCTGTACCATAAACTACTTATTTTTAAGTGTAAAGACAAAATATTGTTTAAAGCAACAGTTATGAACTTCAGTATGCTGTTTTGTGGATACATTACCAATATAAAAAATAAACGAAGTTATATGAACATAGCCTTATGGAATCAGACCTTGGGTCAATTTAACTAATTATTAAGGTAAAGGTTTCCCCTTGCCATTAAGTCCAGTCATGCCTGACTCTAGGGGGCGGTGCTCATCTCCATTTCCTAGCCAAGGGAGCCAGCGTTTGTCCGCAGTCTCCGTGGTCATGTGGCCGGCATGACTAAACACCGAGGTGCACGGAACGCTGTTACCTTCCCACCAAAGTGCTACCTTTTTATCTACTTGCATTTGCATACTTTTGAACTGCAAGGTTGGCAGGAACTGGGACAGAGTACGGGAGCTCACCCCGTTGTGCAGATTTGAACTGGCGACCTTTCAATCAACCAGCCCAGCGGCTCAGCCATTTAAACCACTGCACCACCTGCAGTCCCAAGTAATTATTACTTGCATGAAAATCATGGAGGGGTCCATGCAAAGTTTCCTCAGTCCTTTCCAGAAGTGTTTAAAATATGATACTGGTTTGACTGTTTTTTATAGCTGGACCTCTGCAACCATTTTAAATTTGTGTTTTATTTGTCAGTGGACATGTTATCTTGCCTGCTTTTGTTTTAACAAAATAGTACGAGAAGATGGGCAAGCAACTAGCATGTTAAGAAGAGCCAGACCAATCCATGGCATTTATGTCTCCTGGGATGTTTTGGTTTCATTTGGTATCATTTCTCAGCACATGTCTACAGCAGTTGCCAGAACAAGTAACTGCTTACTTGAGGCATCATAGGTGCCTCAAGTAAGCTTCAATACTTTGTGAATTATAACATGGACAAGGCTATCACTGGTAGTTTTCATAGCTGAACAAGGAGGGCCTGCACAGGCTTAAAAAACACTTTAAGTTATCAGGCACCATTACCACATTTTTAAGGAAACACCCTTTCATAAGGCTGAAGAAGAAAACACACTCTCAATACAGACGTCAAGGCTTGCAATTGGGATTTCCCCCCAACTCAGAGTCCAGCACAGCCAGTTTGCCATTTTTCACATCCTCAGAAGGGCAGCCTATTTTAGATACCTATGAGAAGCTGGGGTATATTTAGGGAAGCTTTCCAGCACAGTGACCAAGTGTTTTTCATTTTAATGCCTGCATGCTAGGGATGGGAAGAAAAATATGTACTGTTTCAAAATCACTCTCTGTATATTGCATATATAACTATTTAGTGTTATGCTGCTAAAACTGAGTTGTAGCCCATGGCATAATTAGAACACTTGCCTTAATTCCACAGCAAGCCACACATTCGGGCTAGGTTCTAAATGTGGATTACACACATTCTATTATTCTGGGAAGTCCACTCTTCCTTGCCATGATGCCCTTTAGAGGTTTCAGACAATTCTCAGGATTTCTGACCACTAGCCACGGTGGCTGGGGTTAATGGAAACTGCAGTAAGCTTGTGTCCTCTGGATTTTTTGGACTGCAGGTTTCATCATGTCATGAGCAGTATCTTTATCTGAGTTATACATGAAAACATTCATGAAATAAATTACCTCTGACTAGTGGCCATGCTGATCTGTGTTCTGTGTCTTGCCCCGTTTGTTTGTTTGTTTGTTTATTATTTTGTAAGCCAGCCACTAATCCATTTAGATTCTCTAGACAGCTTACAGTAAAATACTAAAGACAACAATAAAACCAATTAAAATCACAAAACAAAATTAAAAACAAATCATAATTTGACCAACTAAGCATAACAACAGCTGTCAAAAATAGATAACAATTTAAAACTGTCCTTGCAAATATTCAGAGAAAAGAAATGCCTTCTGCTGATGCTGAAATGAAAACAAAGTTGGTGCCCTGCAAATTTCTTTGGGAAGCCTGTTCCACAGTTGAGGAGCAGCAACTAAAAAGGCTCTTCTTCTATTTACCATTCCCTTTATCTCCTTAAGGGACAGCTTTTTTAAAAGGACCTCCTGCCCAGATCTTAATGGGCAGGTAGGTATATATGAGAACAGACAGTCCTTTTGCTAGCCAGGTACTAAGGCATGGGTCCTCAAACTACTGCACAGATATGCTGTTTTCTGTGGTAGCCTCATGTTTCCCTCACACACTTTTATACTGAATGCTCCAAATATCAACAACAAACACCAGCCTTCTGTTATATAATAGCCACTTCCAGCTAAAGAGGAATGCTTAACAGTGAGGGAATATTTGGCCAATATGAAAGAAACAATTCTAGCAAAAGCCAGGGTGAATCATTTTAATGACTTCCATGCCATTTCCCTGAGTAATTTCATTACTTCAACCATGGCTCTGTCTGTAATACCAAAACATTCCATGAAAATACCCAAGCATAAGGCAGATTCTAATGGCCACCTTAAAAATAGAGTCCAACACCAGCACAGCACCAGCACCAGCACCAGCACCTTACAAGCAGTGAGAGGAATTTCATTGGTAAAGACAGGACAAGGGTTGATTATCATCACCAGGAGTTTTGTGCACAATTGCCAACAAAAGGATCTACCACAATGCCTCATTCCATCAATTTCAGTTGAAAGCACATTACATAGCATTGCAGTATAAGAGTACTTCCATTAAGAGAGCTTTCCTTCAAAAGGTAGAATAACAATTTCTCCTATGCAGGCTATGGACTTCGGTATAACACGTCCAGTACACATTACAGAGCTTCAGGCAAGTCATCAAGGTCCTTGCTAGCTGTTGTTTCTTTCAAGCATCTCCCTTAACAAGGCTGAAGTTGAAAGAGAAAGAAGCTACATCTGTGGCAGCTCCCCTCTCATAGTGGCCTTTAACTTTCCACCACTGCTGCAGAAATGTTTAATACTACCACTGCACTTTAATACTACTTAATAGGGATGGGAGGAAAATTCTGTTTTTGTCAAGCATTTTAAAATAAGCCATCCTATTGCATTCTCTAGATTAATATGCAGATTAGAACACAGTTATCGTTGAGACTGTGTACACCCCAAAGATGTGTAATGTAATTCTTAGTTCAAACATCATGTACAAAAATGTGCATATTATGGCAGATTGTGTATGAATATAAACATGGATTTTCATGTAGTTAAAAAGTTGCAGAGTGATGCAGGAACGGAATGGAA